AGAGAGAGAGAGAGAGAGAGAGAGAGAGAGAGAGAGAGAGAGAGAGAAAGAGAGAGAGAGATTCTGACAAAGCTTTAATGCTACTAAGTATAATTAAAAATCTTATCTTGTCTTGATTTAACAGATCTTAATTGATACCCCTCAAATGCCTATTAAGGGATCAGAAATTTATTGATAGGCTTTATATTTGTATCATGGGTATTTTAAACATATAACTTGACAGTACAATAGGTACACTAGTTAGAAGACCTAACTTTAGGTTACTGACTCAAAGTTACTTAATAAGTTATTTGAACCTCAGTTTCTTTATCTGTAAAATGGAGACAATGATATTTGTACTAAATACCTCACAGCATTATTGTGAAGATAATATAAGGATTTATATATATATATATATACACACACATATATACACATACACACATATTATATGTATATATACATATGTGTGTATGATATATATGTACACACACAAAAGCCTATATAAATATAAACATAAACTTAATTTTTCATGAGTCTGTGGGAAAAAGAATTGTGTAAATAGATGGCCAATTATTTGATAATGGTCCTCCTTGATCACAAGGTAAGTTGACCCTTGATAGAGCACTGACAGAGTTTACAGTCTCCTAACTTATCCCAAGGTCATTTCCATGCCATGAAGCATCATGGTAGAGTTTTTGAAGAGAATTAACATCAACAATAATAATTATAGCACTTTCTGGTTTACAAAGCAATTTTCTCACAACAACTCCATGAAGAATGTAATGAAAATATTGCTGACCCTGTTTTAAAGAAGTGAAAATTGTAGCTCTACAGAGTTGCTACTTATCTGTGAGTACAGTGCTAGTAGATGTCAGAGCTGGTACTCAGAACACAGACCCCAACTTCACTGGTCTTTCACTAGTTCACGTGTACTATTGAGATGTTCCATAGGAATAGGTCTCAAAGTCCGTAAGTAGAACTCCTATCATCAACAGAAATTTGGTATGTGTTTTGAGAGCTGGAGAATTATATTCTGGGAAAGATCATTCTGAAATTCATTTCAGTTGCTTTTCAGTTGTATCCAACTCTTCGTGACTGTATTTGGGGTTTTCTTGGCAAAGATATTGGAGTGGTTTGCTATTTCCTTGTCCAGCTCATTTTACAAATGGGGAAACCGAAGCAAACAGGATTAAATGACTTGCCCAGGGTCACACAGATAGTAAATGTCTGAGGCCAGATTTGAACTCAGGAAGAGGAGTCTTCCTGACTCCAGGGCTAGCACTCTATCTACTGTGCCACCTAGCTGCCTGGTTTATCAGCAGAGTTTACCAGCCGAGTAAACCTTTAAGATCTAAAGGATTTACTTTTTAGCTAATCAAAGAAACTGGAAAATAGTTCTTATTCCCAGCTAAGGAGTTAGAAAAATTCCCTTATGGGAAAACAAGAGGCCTCTCTGCCACCTCAAATCTGTAATCTCTTTGATATAGGAGAGAACTACCTCAGTGCCCCCTTTTAGATCAGGACGAAACACAAATGAGTTTTAAAATACCAGTCGTAGAGTCAAGAGACTTTGAGTCAAGAGAGTTCCAACTTTCCTGCTTACTAACTGTATGACAATGGGCAGCTGTTTAACTTCTCTGAACCTTACTTCATTCATTTGCAAAATGTTGATCATAAAATATGCCTTATAATAATAATAGCTAACATTTAGAAGCACTTTAAGGTCTGCAAAGAGCCTTACAAATACTATTTCGTTTGATCCTCACAACAACCCTGGGAGGTAGGTACTATTATTATTCCCATTTTACATTAGAGGAAACTGAGGCTGATGGAGGCTAAGTAGCTTGCCCAGGGTCACACAGCAAGCCTCCTGAGGCTGGATTTGAATTCAGACCTTTCTCACTCCAGGTTCAGTACTCTATCCATTGCACCACCTAATTGGGCATTTTTTAATACCTCTATATGGCTGCTACAAGGATGAAATCAGATAATGGATGTGCTGAGGCTTTGTAAAATGTAAAATGCTATACCAATGAAAGTTATTTCTTTAAATTATCTTTCTTTAAATTATTTTTCATTTTGTTCCCAACTCTTCCTCTTTTGCCTTCCTGTAGCTTCGCTGTGTTGAAGAGCTTCAAACCATCCAAGTGATCAAAATCCTGAGATACGAGAAGAAAGTGGCCAAAATGTGCTTTTTAATGATAGCAACATTCCTGTTCTGTTGGATGCCTTATGCAGTGATCTGTCTCTTGATAGCAAATGGCTATGGCAGCCTGGTCACACCAACTGTGGCTATCATACCATCTCTCTTTGCCAAATCCAGTACTGCATACAATCCAATTATCTACATCTTCATGAGCAGAAAGGTATGCTTTACAACAAACAGAATGCTTTTATTCATCATAGATTGGGGTCAATTCAGGACAGCATTAGGGATGATTCTCTAAATCAGGGATTAACTGCAGGAAGAAAAAGACCTTGAAATAAATTCAGGGTATGTTTGAATTTCCTGTGAAACTTTACTGACTTTGGATATAGACTCAATAGGTCCATTTTAAAGTTTTTACCCCAGTCAGCTAAATTGAATACTTGCCATGTTGAAGGCCAGAGTTAGGCACAAGGAATACAGAGATACAACAAACCAAAGTTTCTGCCCTTACATTCTACTTAAAGCAATGCAACATGTACAGATGAAAAGATAATTAACAATGCAAGGCCATAAAGTGCATGGAAGAGCTGTAAGAGTTCAGAGAAGAAAAAGGTGAGCTAGTTTTTAAGGAAGGAAAAAAAGTGGTAGTAGTTTGAATGCAGCTCAAAGGAAGTATAGTATTAAGATGAACAGAGATGATTAGAGAGTACATATCCTGGAAAGGAAATAGTAGGTAATATATAATTTGGGAATAGCAAGAAGGCTACCTAGGCTAAAGGCAAAGAGTAGCAGGAGATAAGGCTGGAGTGGTAAGTAGGATAAGATTGGAAAGGCTCTTGAATGCAGGCTAAAGATTTTGCACCTTATCCCACAGAAAATAGGGAGCCACTGAAGGGGATATGTCATTTGAGCAGGGGAAAAGATAGGATGAGAGGTATGAAGATTAACAAGGTTCTGAGAGATGTAGTTTCTGGGTAATTTAATAATTTTATTAATAAGGCCAGCATGTTATTAATAAAAGCATGGTCCTTTGGCTAGTTCTCTTAGACAAAAAACAATCATGGCTGTGGGCACAGAGCTTATAAATTCTTTTGGAAGAGGAGTGACAATCAACTCAGATTGGTTAATACTATAAGTGAGCTATATTAAAATGAAGGTCTGAGAGTGACATCTTGTCACCCTTGGACATAGAAACAACTTCTATACTGAGACCACCCCCAGCCTTGGGCTGTCTATACAAAAGGATCTGTCTCCACCCAAATTTGAGACATAGGCTATGGTGGCCCCAGGGTGGGTCTAATCTCATTATCAGCAATGTCCTTCAAGAGACTGAATTTTTAAAATCAAGGCCTTAGAAAAGGGGGAATTCTATTTCCCCAAATCATTGGATATTAATAATTATTTCTCTCAGAGATAGTATACTTATCAAAATCACATTCTTTGCGGATCAGGATGATAGCTACGACACCAATGTGTTAGGTTACCCTACAGCAAGTTGGAAATTCCAGTTGAAAGATACATCGTGAAAGATGACAGCTATGTAATGCTTTTATGTTTTATTGGTAATACTTTCACAAACCAGTTCACACCTCTCACATATACATTTGAAGTCATTCATTTAAATCAGTACAAGAAAATTATCCTATGTATCAGAAGAACTTATTTTCCATATAAAAAGTCCTCTGATGGCAGAAACCTTGGCCCCAAGAAGAGGGGAATTGGAGTAATCCAGAATAGTTAGAACTAGAGGAAAAAGCTCTGTCTCTGGCGTCAGAGAACCTGGGTTCAAATCCTATTTTTTGTTTGCTGCCTTTGTGAGCTTTTTGATCTTTTCGTCTGTATATGTTGCAGTTCTTTAACTTAACTGTAAGGGCAGAGACTATGGTTTATTGTTGTTGTATCTCTATATCCCTAGTTGTGCCTGACTCTAGCTCTTACACATGGCAAGCATGCAACTTAACCTACCTGGGTCTGCTTCCTCATTTATAACAAGAGTTTTGGCATAGATTGTCTCTGGGTTCCCTTTCAGCTTTACATCTATGATCCTGTGATGCCCACAGAACTGGGTCCCAATGTAAGCATATGGTCAAAGTCCCGACTTGAATGAGATACTGCCACTCACCCTGCCAAGTGCAGGGTTCTTGTGAGGATAAAATGAGATAATATTTGTAAAATGCTTAGCGCAGGTGCTATATAAATGCTTATTCCCTTTCCCCCTTCTTTAGGTGCTAAAACTCATTTATTGAATGACTTTCAGAGGACAATATAAGTTATAACTTTCTCTGACATTCACAGACCTAGTAGCACTAATGGCATGATACAAGACTTATTGACTGGATATACTAACCTCAGATTCCACTAAGCTTCCCTCTCTTTCTCTTTCTCTTTTTGATCTTTCCCTCTCCCCTTGCTTCTCTGTCTCTCTTCCCCATCCTGACCTCTCCTCATATTCTCTTCCTTTTCCCCCACTGACCTGCCTTTCCCTTACCTGGACATCATATGGAGGGGTGAAAATGTGTGTATGAGTGCATGTATCTGTGTGTATACATACATACATACATGCATGCATACATACACATACACACACATATATAAACAATAAGTTTTATTGAATTTGCATTTTGTGCCAAACTGTGCTAGGTATAATAAGGAATACAAAGAAATAGAAGACATGGCCCCTGCCCTGAAGTAACTCATAATTTAGTTGGGGAGATAACACAAACATGAAAAAATGCTGAACACTGTATAGTGAGGGCTAAATAGTTCAGTGCAGACATTCCTGGAATTCAGAGATAGGAAAGAGTAATGTGGGTATTTGTTGTATCTTTTTTAAAATAGAGTTTATATTCGCTGTTTAGAATTTGAAAACTAATACAACATATTTTATTTACCTCCAAATAAAGGAAATTACTTTTTATGTGGGCGTGAATCCCCTCTACAAGGGGATTTGTGTTTGAACACAACATGGGCTCTGAGACCACTATTCATTCTGAGATTGTACAGCCTCAAATACATTTCCCCTCCAATGGTTCAATGACCCTTGATGGGGATAGAAAAAATGTTTCCCCATCCAAAATGTAAGAGAGCATAGCATCAGAATCAATTAAATAATATCTAGCTGCCCTCTTAAATATATATATTACACACACACATACATACATAAATATATATAATATATATTTAAGTCTGCTTTATAAAGTATGAAACAAGTAGATCTAATTGTAAGATAGAATCACATAGTTTGGAATTATACAATTATTTATATTCTTTGAGCTTGTTTGAAGCAGCCTAATAATCTTCCTTTATAGAAGAGGACTTCATTTTGAACAAGTTTTTTCTTGATTTTATTCATCTATTATTGCTAAAATTTAAATTTTATACATTGAAACAAAAAATGTTATTAATCTGACTTAATTATCATTTTAACTCAAATGTATGCCAAAATCTAAAAAAAAAGCCTGCAACCTCTCTCCAATTTAGTTTTTCCATCCGTAAAATGGAGAGGAGTCGAAGTGAGGGTACAAGCAGAGAAAGAGGATGTTATATCTGCCTCCAACCATATCTTTAATAAGCATATTTCAGTAATTAGTAAGTTAGTGATTATAACACGTAGGATAATTCAACTCAAACAGACAAACATTAAGCACTTAATATCTGTGAGACACTGTGCTAAGGCACTGGGGATTCAAAGACAACTTCATTAAGCTTACATTCTCTTGAGAGGAAAATCACTTAGAGAACATGAGTTATAAAGAGAAAACCTGCCCTTTTAAGACTAGCTAGGTCTAAGACTAGAGATAGGGACTAAATCTATGATTTCACTGTTGTAAGGAATTTCCACAGGAGGAAACTCCCTCTACTTAGGCAGGTCAGAACCTCAGGAACTTGTAGTCTTTGATATTTGCCTGGAGCAGAGAGGTTAAAATGACTTTGCCCAGGGTCACGTATGGGCCAGTATGGGTCAAAGTCATCCTCATCATCATAAATGTACTTTCCTTTGTAATATGAATATTACAAGACTGATGAACATATCACTCGCACCTTTTGGCCCAGCCTGCTTCATGATTATTTATTATGTGACTGGCTGGGTATAAGTCTCTGGCCTTCTGTCCCAGTTAATGGGATCTATATAGGGACTAAACATGATTCTGGCTTCAACACAGTGTTTTGTGTTGTGAGTATTTTAGATAGAAGACACAGGGCCCAGGGTAACTAAAAGTATGCACCTTTAGGGGGTTTACTTCCCCTTCCCTCAAGAAATGCCCAGGTCTCAGAATAATCTTTATATCATTTTCTTGAATGGCATCTGAAATGGAACACCTTTAACTTGGCATTATGCTGTCATAATTCTTTTTCTGTGCAGTTTCGAAGATGCCTTTTACAGCTCCTGTGTTTCAGGCAGCTGAAATTCCAGCAGTCCAAGAAAGACAGACCTGTCATGAGGACTGAAAAGCAGATCAGACCTATAGTGATGTCCCAGAAAGTTGGAGACCGACCAAAGAAGAAAGTGACTTTTAGCTCTTCCTCCATCATCTTCATCATCACCAGTGATGAGACACAAATGATCGATGACAGTGACAAAAACAGTGGGACAAAGGTGAATGTGATTCAAGTTCGACCTCTCTAGGGATGGAGGGGGACAGTAAAAGACAGGATTCTGCGCAGTAGACTCAGCTTCTGATCTCTAATTTTGAAGACTGTGATGGAATTCCCCAGAGGACTTTTGTTCCACTGTGATATGATAAAAATGAGTTGACACAGTTGAACTCCAGTTATGTTCACTGACCTCAGAAAATAACCTGAGCAATGGTTTTGGTCAACGGGTGCTCCACGTACTAAAATATGACTTCACAATATAAGAAGATTAGAGGATTATTTTAAGCTGGAAGAGATCTTAAAGACCATTTGGTCCAATCTGCTTATTTAACATGTGATAAAAACTGAGGTCCCATGAGGTTACATTACAAGTCCATACAACTTATTAGAGAGTCAGGAGTCATCCCTTTCCAAATATGATGACTATTTTCATTCCAAATGTTTCTAAATGCTGTACTTTCTAATGCTTGTGATGCTTTCTCCTTCTGTTTTGAATATGGCTTTCAAAATATCTGCATTTTACATATATGCATAAAATGGGTAGGAAAACTGTCACCAATTGTAGCTAAAGAGTGCTGTCCTTTATTATGTCCAACTGTCTTCTTTATAAATGTGATATCATGATTAGCCAGCTCTAAGATGAAGATTATAGGCAATTCCCCAGTTTGCAATAAATGAAAACTTAATGCGTCAGAAGACTTTAATGCTATGTGTACCAATGATAACCAAACAGCAGATTAAGACAGATGTGCTGCTGAGCACAACTCTAGAATATGTGAGTGCTAGAGAAAAGAAGACATCATTTTGAAAAAAAAAATAATCTTGTACTCTAAGATGATACTAATACTTTTCTGGTACCTAAAACGTAGACTTCTGCATTACCAGAAAATGTAGCTGGTGAAGACAATATTAACCTGGGGAGAGTCATCACCTATGTGAGATGAAAATATGATACGGGGTTTGTTAATCACTTTGATAATTTTCCATATATATCTGCCAAGCATATAGTCCTAACTAAACATACATAGATTGGGATAGTATTAGCCAAGCACCAACAGTGCATTAGACAATGGTCAGTACTTGGAGAAGATTTTCTTTCCAGATTAGTCTACAACTAAAAAAGATTGATTTAAATCATGAACTTACAGGGCTTCCAGAGTGCCATACAGAATCACAGAATGTTAGAGCTACAATAAACCTTAGAGTTCATCTACTCCAATGCTTTCATTTAATACATGCTAAGAGAGGTTAAGTGATTTTCCCAAGGTCACACTAAATAAATATTAAAGTCAGAACTTAAAACCTAGTCTTATGAGTCAAAGATCACTGGTCTTTCTACTATACCAGCTTCTTCCCTGGACTTAGAAGAAAAATATTTGTTCTACTTGTCATTTCATTTTTATTATTGGGATAACTGTTTGACTTGCTGGTATAGCATTTTGTATGTTTCATGAACTTCAGAGGGGGTGTCTTGGTACATTGAGGAGAGAAGAACCAAAGAAAAAGTTTTCACAAAAAGTGCTTTTGAAAGTCACTCTTATGGATTAGCCCAACCACAACTTAAAGCTAAAATATCAAGTTGGTTAAATTGCTATTGAAGGTCTAAAATGAAATAAAACATTGTTTCATATGTCTAATAAAGCATCTCTGCTTACATTTTAAAATATTTAACATTTTTCTATTTTTGTACAAAAATTGAGGTGTTTAAAATGTTTAAATAAAATTATTCACTGAGCCATGTCATGGCCTTCCTGGGGCTAAAAAAGTCCTATTGACTAATTACTGCATATAATTTTTTTCCCGCAGAAGAGTATGAACACACTATTATGAATTATGCATAAAATATTCCCAGGAGCACATTGTTTAAAACTGAGACAAATAGCATTTTCATTCTCTATACCCTTAGAGCTCTCCGGGGTTACTTGAGACTCAGAATGATGGCTATGGAAGCTATCTCAGAGACTACTTAGTCCAATTCCCTCATTTGTATAAGAAGGCACTAGAGAGAGCTAAAATCACTTGCCCAAGATCTTATGGTTAAGTTAGTGGAAAAATCTGGACTAGAACTCGTCTACTCATTCTTAGCCCAATGCCCTTTCCATTAAAGCAGATTGTTTCTCCTCATGTCTGTGCTGTAGCCTTAGAGAAACCTATGAGGGTATCAGAAAGCTCTATCAACATACTGGAAAACATGTAAATTTATCCCTCAAATGACTTCATGTGAGACCACACAAATGACCTTTTTGAAAATGATGGTCCTGGCACAACATGACGTTATTTTTTCATCTTCTTGTTCATAACGTGAACCTAGCTAATGAAGTAACATATAAGAAATTCCAATTCATTTTAACAAAGAGGTAGGTACCCATAAAAGCAGCTGAGAAAAGGATTTCTGACATTTCAGGAGGAATCAGGCATCTGCACTATTGCCTTTTTAATTTCCATGATAGAAATCCAGAGATAGTGTTAACAGGGGAAATGCTTTATTTAATATTGGGGCTAACAGAACATATAGTAGACTGTACTTCCCTTACAGGTGAGTAACGCATCACAGCCTTGCTATAATGCTTTCATATATTATCTATTGATGAAATTGAAATTCAGTCAGAATTTCAAAATTCCCAGAAGGATTTAATTGATAGCACTATCACTTATAACATGATTTTGGACCCTCAGGACAATGTTATCCTGAGGGTCCAAAATCATTCTTGTGCTCTCAATTAAAAAAAAATTGTAGCATCTGTTTAAAAAAACAAAACAAAACAACTTTTAAATAGCCCTAAAGAAGAATTCAAAATGGCACTGCCATTTGAAGGATGCCTTCTAATAGTGAGTTGGATATGGAGGTCAATAATATGTGCCTGTCTTTTCCAAGAAGCCAACCATTTGCCATTAGATAACTTTCTTTCATAACAGCCAATATCACAATCTAGAGTTTGTTCTTTTAATTCCATGGAAGTTTCAAAAAGAGGTTTTCAGTGCTCCTGAAGGAAGTGATCCAGTTCCACAGCATCTTCAGTTGGACCATTGGTGACATGTAAGTTATAAATAAGCAGGTACCACTTAGGGCTGTTGCTGTCCCAAAGAAAAAAAGTCCTCTGTTTATAACCTGGAAGGAAAGAAGGTGTTATGGTTTCAGTTCATGGGAAATCAAAATCTGATGAGCAAACCACGTTCCTAAGGCTTTTGCTCATGCTGTTCCTTTCAACAATTCAATTCGTCAAAAGTGTATTAAGCTCCTACCATGTATGAAGCATTGCAGTCTCAGCTCAAGATTTCCCTCATTCTTCCAAGCTTTACTCCTCAGACATCTCTAGATTTCATTAAAACTTTCTATGCATTTGTCTTACCACCTCCTACCCAAGATCAGAGATCATGTCTTTGACTCATAAAATCATAGAATATTAAAGTTGAAAAGAATGGTGGAGAACATTTAGTTTGAATTTTCTCCCAGTACTTAGCCACTGCCATACATGTAACAGATGCATGGTAAATATTTTTTTAATGTAAACTGGCAAATTCTAAGGCCTGCTATGTAAAGCAAACAGTTCTTGAATAGATCCCTTGCATGCATTTTGCATAAAAAAGTCAGTATCTATTCATTACAGTGGTATCCAGTGAGGAAGTGCTACTTACTCTAAGCAACCACACAGTCAAGCAGGCTTGACTAGGAACCAACCAACTTCCTTCTGTATTCAACCAACTCAACCACAGGCAGGAACAAGTAAAAGGATCTTTAGCTCTGCCCTTGAAGCCAAAAGGAGATCAGGCCTAACAGCTTTGTAAACTAGACTAAAGATAGAAGCCTATGCTAATTGATATAACTATTCCTGGTTGCAGAAAACTGCAGGGCATGAGAGAAAGAACTGGAAGGTCATTGTGACCCAGGGCACATTCCCAAAACCAGATTTTTGCAAATAAACACATTGTTTTATGTGTAAGTCTAAGTCTATAAAATGGTAAGATGTCAATTTCATGCCTTATATAGAAAAAAAGGATCAGTACAAAAGAAAATTGTTCAAACCTGTCATGGAGTGAGGAGGAAAAGGATTATGGCAGACCTGTACAACTTGGCAGTAGGTAGGGGCCAACATTAAAATAGGCTAAACTTCTTCGGGCCACAGATACGTTTTTAGCGGTTCACTTTCCAAGTAAAGGTATAATTAATGATTAAACTATTTTGCAAATAAACCATATTTTTAAAAAGGGTAAATTTCAATTAATATCAATTATGCTTATATAAGATTTTCATTTATCATGAAATCACATTAATGTTAAAATAAATTACTTTGCTAAGCGGTACAAGTTTTAACACATTTTTCAGGTTTTCTTACTGTTTACATGTAGTTAATGTGACATATTACACTTCTTGTCAGCAATCAGTTAATCATACTCTGGAATCATGTTTGAAATTGATTTCTTTAAAAATCTAAAAACTAACCTTAGCAGCTGCCTCATTTTCTTAGTTTACTTTCTTGAAAAACCGGTGTTCCCCACTGAGATTTTTCAACAATTTGGACACTTTAATTTGTTTTTCCTTGGGGTCCAATTTGCTTAAGTAAGGATGTTCTGATGCGAAACGGCAACAAAGACTACATTCCTTCACAACAGCTTTACTTCTCGGCAAACAAGGCACAATATTTTGTATCTCATGTAAGTAAACAAGTATCTATTTGCCCACTCTGGATTAAACACTCTATATTCTGATTCGATCTTCTGTTTCTTTTTATCACTCATTTTACAAAATCACCCCTTAAAACTTAAATGTTAGAACCACAGCAACTGCTCACATACAAAGAAATACTGAACTGAGTGTCTGACCTTGGAAAGAGCACCTGACACTCATGTAACCTGGAGGGCAGCTGCGCAGCAAGGCAGGGGAAGAAGCCCTTGCGTTGATGCTGCCTAGCAGGCGTCAGCTGCATTGGCGCATGGCTGCACTCACTTTGTCCTTGTTCAACACCAGTTACAACCAAAAACACAGCTAAAAGATATGACTCTCACTCTTCTCAGACTAGAGACAGACTGATGACGGTTGGTTTCTACAGGTCAGGTGACAAACAGGAGAGAGTATGCAGTGGCAACCTACTGCCAAGTTACATAATGGGCACCATAGTGGCTAGTGGAAGGCAGGTTAAGCAGGGCATGGACAGAGCACTCGTTACATCTTTATTTTCTTTTATATCCTCTACATTTTTTCTGAGCTGCCTGAAACCTTTGATGGGCCACAAGTGGTACACAGGCTGTATGTTGTGCAGGCTTAGATTATGGTATAGCCAACCAATTTAACTGAGTTTTTCTAGTTCTCAGACAGCTGCATCTTAATCATATAGATATATAATCTAATCAAATTTCATGTCATATCTTTTACTTTTGAGTCATTTTTCAGTAATATCTGACTCTTTGTGACCCCATTTGGGATTTTCTTGGCAGAGATATTAAAGCAGTTTGCCATCTCCTTTTCCAATTCATTTTACAGATGAGGAAACTGAGGCAAACAAGGTTAAGTGACTTGCCCAGGGTCACACAACTAGTAAGTGTCTGAAGCCAGGTTTGAACTCAGGAAGAGGGGTCTTCCTGGTCCCAGTACCAGTGCTTAGCCACATAGCTTCCCAAGTCTTTTACTATGTAAATAATATCCCACATTAGTTATTGTATTAGCAACTGCAGCTTCTGGCCAGAGCTACTAATCACTCTGTAAAACTGAGTCTGGACAATGGTTTGGGAAATTCAGGTAGAATCTGAATTGATGGGCTTTTTTTTTTTTTTTTTTTTGAGATTTAGAACCACATCTGGGAGATCTAAGGGTCTGGGGTGACATGTGAATGGTGAGTTCTGATAAGAAAAATCTCAAGGGAGAAGAGAGAGCAAGTGCAAGGGCAGCCCAAGAGGTGTGGAATATTATTTGAAGGGTGTCAAAAGACCCACTTGAAACTATTTCTTCCTCTAACTGGACTGGTCTGGTTGTCTGATATTCCCACCAACAGTCACTCCATAGAGGCCTTTTCTATAGACAAAGATTCATAGAGACCAGAGACCATCCAATCCAGCCCCCTCATTTTAGAGAAGAGCAGATGGAAGCCCAGGGAAATGAAGTGACTTCCCCAAGGTCATATCAGTAATTACTTGCAGAGCTAGGAGTAGAACCCAGCTCTTTTAGTTGCAAGTCTAGGACTCTTACCACTATGCAATACTGCCATGGATTAAGAGAATGATGGCTGGAAGAGCAGTAGATTATCTAGCTAATACTTTGGCCAGAATACTTTTGTACAATGACTACCCTTGCTAAGTAATAGAAAGCATGATCTTGAAAAATAAAGCACATAGAGCATTTGAGGGTAAAGGGTAAAGAATGTCTCCAATCTGGAGTATTGCCCTGACTCAATGGGGTTCTTGAATAATCAGGGACCCTGAACATACAGGAAATGTCATGAGGGCCCTGGGAAAGGAAGAACAGTGAAGCAGGAAATCCATTGCGGTAGGCCTAGGAGGTCAGTATTACAACAAGACACAAGACACAGGGAATATTGGGGACCGGGGTTTTTGTCTGACTCAGCCTGTTTCCCCAAAACTTCATGATCTTTGTCCTAAGATTGTGGTCATGTGTCAGTATGGTCAGACTTGGCCCCTACGGATTTTGCTGTGCCAGTATGGATATGGGTACAGGCTTATGTATACAATTAAATATGCTTATTTTGTTGATGTTCAAGACTTGCTTTCCTACAAAATCAAATAGAAATTGTTGTGTTACCTAAGTAAAAACTGGGGCTTAATCAGTATCAATGCACATGTTCAGAGAAAGATAAATTAACTTGCTTCCTAGGCTGCAGGGAAGTAGTAAAATATTAGGAGAATATTCTGTGGCTGCTTAAATATTAACTATTCTGAACTTCTAGTTCTGAGTTTAAAATGACAAACTCACTCTCAACAGAGTCAAAGGCCCCTTATCAAAGGCCTTTCTTTATTTAAAAACAAAAAAAAAAGAACCAACTGTTTTTTATCTGTGTTTTCACCAAGTAATCATTCAATATAATGATATTGAATTCTGAATTTCCTAACTGACCTAAATCTGAATTTCTAGTAAGGTACACCTTCAATGCCTCATTGCAACAATCAGCTGATGCTGGCTTCTCAAAGGCTGGCAGGTCCTGATGAAGCTGGCACCATCCAGTGATGAGCTCTGCATTCGTCCTCTGAGAATCAGTCTAGGTAAGTGCAGGGAGGGTCATCAGCAGAAGGTACTCACACCAATGAAATCACAGACCTTTTGAAGTAAAGACTTTTTTTTTTTTTTAATCAGAAACTTCAAGTCAAACCTTTCATTTCCTTGATGACATGCGTTTAAAAGCAAGATTAGTGGCTCATGATAGTTCTATCTATCCATTTGAGCCAGGTTTTTGAAGGATGAGCATTTTCTTTTGACCAAAGAGACGCTGAAAGTAGACTGGAAAGATTCACTTGAACCAGAGCCTAATAAGGTGTTAATGTTTAATCTGCATCCCAAACTGGGTGGGTGACTAAGACTGACTATTCCTATTTGAGTTGTGTGACTTTGGGAAACATATTTTTCACAGTCTATCCCCAAAGGCTCCTTTGTTGAGTGGTACTGGTTTGGAAACAGATTAATAGGAAAGAAGGTTTCTGAAATTTTAGACATGCCTTTCTACTAGATAGATAAATAGAGAGACAGTGATAGATAGAGATATTTAGACTTATATGTTGTTGTCGTTCAGTTATGTCCGATTCTTCATGACCCCATTTGGGGTTTTCTTGGCAAAGACACTGGAGTGATTTGTTGTTTCCTTCTCCAGCTCATTTTACAGATGAGGAACTGAGACAAACAGTGACTTGTGCAGGGTCACAGAGCTAGTAAGTGTTTGAGGCCAGATTTGAACTCAGGAAGATGAGTCTTCCTGACTCCAGGCCTAGCACTCTATGCACTCTGCCACCTAGATGCCTTATAGACTTATATATCTCTATTTAAATATGTGTCTATGTATCTTTAACTATCCATCTATCTGTCTGTCTGTCTGTCTATATCTAGGATATGCCTGTAACCCAGGGTTAAGGTGATACAGAATTGTTAGGGACTTTTTTTTTTTTTGGTTTGTTTTAGCATTTTGAGGCTGATACTTCCAGAATTACTGAATTTAATTTGGAATTTTAAAAAATGTCAAATTAGGAAAAAAAAAACAACAACCAATGCTTTATTTAGCATACGCCTGTGACCCCTTGATTTTTTCCAAAACTAGATGAGTGAATGGGTGACTATTTAGGGCACTAAAGCTTAAAACTTCACCAAGACTTTTGGCACACCCCATATACTGAGGGGGAAAAACATTTTCTTTTAATGGCATTACAAAACAATTTGGATACCTTTCAACCATGGAGTATGGTGGTTTGAAACATAGCTAAGCTCATTAAGCCAATAAAAATACTTGTATGATGCCAATCACAGGGCTGGCTCAACTTACAAAAACAAAGAGGTGCAGTTCAGTGTACTGTGGTCTTTTTTCATTACTTTTCCCCTCAAACTGTCTCTCTTATCAGCTGACTTGTTCCATTAATCTAGGTACCTTCATGGCCAAGGCCATTTTAATTTACAAGGCATACATTTCAATTTTAAGAGGGCAGGCCCAAGAATCAGAATTTTAATGCTTCCCCTTCATAATTCTTTGGCAAGAGACATTGCTAGAGGCATATATAAAGCAATAACATACATTATGTGGCAAGGTCCTGTGACTTCATTGGTGAAGAGCTCCTTCTCTGTGCATATAGCAAACCAACTGTATCTATTTCCTTAGAAAACTCTGTATCAGAGTTCAGTGGCTTGCTCATGGTCACAACATTCCAAGTTCATTGCAGGTGGGAATTGAATCCATGTTTTCTTGATTCCCAGTCCAGCATTCCACCACACCATGGTGACTCTCTGAAACAATAAAGCTGGTTTGGAACAATGGAAATCGGAAGCTGTCCTCACCTTTTTCTGCCAATTCCACTGTAGAACTGCTTCATGGTATCTTATTCTGGAAAAAGTGACCTGAAGCAAATATTAAGAATGTCTTTAGGTATCCTCTCCGTTAAAAAAAAAATAATGCAGACTAATGTTCTCTAGATCAGCTCTTACCATGGTGTAGAGTGGAATAAAGGTGGACGGCATAATTGCATGAAGACATTTTTCGATGTTCTTTTGGAAGATGAACCATCTTGAATTGACATGCGCTCGCATCTGAAACCAATGTGAGAGTCTTCTGTGACACTTGTTGTTACCACCACAACCTGCTCTTTCTTACCCTTGGTTCTAAAGAAATTATTCCAAGCCGTAATTGCCAAGCAGCATGAAACTGGATGCGTCATTCACTGAAATACTGATAGACTGAAGATATTACTGCCAACATTAGGAGATGCTTTGTTCCAACAATTCAGCAAACTTGGACAGAAAGCTAGCTTGAGATTCAAAGTGCAATATTGTTGCCAAAGGACACTGGGTTTGGAGGTAAGAGACCTGGGATGGAAGCCTGGCTCTGCCACTGAACACCTATGTGACCTTACACAGGGTATTTCATCTTTCTGGGTCTCAGTTTCCTCATGGCTAAAATGAGATTTTAGTAGATGATCTTTGATCTACCTTGCAGCTCCAAATCCTATCATCTGATGAGAAAATGATTTTTTTTTAAGGAAAAACATGAGACTCTAACAAGCAGGAGTAATTTGAGAAATCCCTGTGGAAGAGGAGGGACACAGATCGAGATCTTGTTTCTCTTCCTCTGACCACAGCAGAAAACTCCATTCCTTTTCATGTTGGATCTTCCATTCATCAGTTCAGACGTCCTTGTCCTTTGATCATAATGGAAAGGACATTCAGGAATAACCTACATATATCTCAACAAAACAGACAATAATAATAATTGTAGCTAGCATTTACATAGCACTTTAAAATTTGCAAAATGATGTGCATATCTTATCTCATTTGATCTTTACAACAGCTCTAGGCTGCTAGATGGCTCAGTGGATAAAGTGCTGCGCCTAGAGTCGGGAAGAGCCGAGTTCAAATGCAGACTCAGACACTTACTAGCTGAGTGACCCTGGGCAAGTCACTTAACTTCTGTTTGCCTTAATTCACTGAAAAAGGAAATTGCAAACCACTTCAGTATCTCTGCCAAGAAAACCCTAATGGACAGCAATGGCGTGCTATTGTCAACTCACGGAGAGTTGGACGTGACTGAACTGAACAAATCACTCCCATGTCACGGGTGGTGAAATGGAGGTTAAGGCAGAGGTTAAGTGACTTGCTCAGGCTCGCATAGCTAATAAGTATCTAATGTAGACTTTGAACTCAGGTCTTCCTGACTCCAAGGGAAGCACTCTTCCCATTATGCCCTCTGGTGCTTCCATTGTGCCCTCCGGTCAGCTGTAAGAGCTGACATTCATATACTGCAGCATTTTAGGCTTTACAAAGTATGCCCTCTGTTGTTGTTGTTCAATCATTTTCAGTTGTGTCTGGCTCTTCACGACTCCATTCAGGATTTTTTGGCAAAGATACTAGAGTGCTTTGCCACTTCTTTCAGATGAGGAAATTGAGACAAACAGGATTAAGTGACCTGCCTAGGGTCACACAGCTAGTAAGTGTTTGAGTCTGGATTTGAACTCAGAAAGAGGAGTCTTCCTGACTCTAGGCCTCCACTCTACTCACTGTGCCATCTAGCTGCTCCATGGTCCACAATTACCCTCTTAGATAGTATAAGTACTCCCATTTTACAGTTGAGGAAACTGAAATTTGAAGGGCTTAAGTGATTTGCCCAAGGTCACATATCTAGTTAGTCAGAGTAAAGACCTGGGACTGGCCTCGTCTCCAAACTTCAGATCTAGAGCGCTTTCCACTAGCCCATGCAAAAACAGTAGATAGACATTCATGGTACGGTATTTGGTGCTTTGAAGGGTCCATATAGATGATCCTTTCATAAAGGGTTTACTGAACCTGAACTGGCAAGAATACGTGTGCCGGATGGTTTGAAGCATTCATCTTGCTTCCTGGTAGGAAATCAATGCTTATGTCATCACACAGTTTGCCTAAGGCAACCATTCATCTCAAAGAGTTGAAAGGCAGTTCAAACACTATGTGCAAGATGTTATGTTTGTCCTGTTCTTGAAAAGAATACAAGGAAAATATTACGTAACATCCAGTCAGCCAACAAGTATTTATTAAGAGCCTATTATTGGGGCAGCTAGGTGGCACAGTGGAGAGAGCACCAGCCCTGAAGTCAGGAGGACCTGAGTTCAAATCCAGCCTCAGACCAAACACTTGACACTTACTAGCTGTGTGACCCTGGGCAAGTCACTTAACCCCAATTGCCTTAAAAAAAAAAGTCTATTATCTGGGGCAGCTAGGTGGTGTAGTGGATAGAGCACTGGCCCTGGATTCAGGAGGACCTGAGTTCAAATGTGGCCTCAGATACATAACACTTACTAGCTGTGTGACCCTGGGCAAGTCACTTAACCCCACTGTCTAGCCAAAAAACCCCAAACAATACAAAAAGAGCCTACTATCTGCTGGGCATATAGTCTTCTATGGATTAATATCATAAAGTCTACTGACTGGGTCTGCTACAAGGTCAGGTCACATAATCTCATCTGAATTCTCACTGCAGCAAGGCAGTCCTTTCACACCACCCCAATCTATTTACTTTCCCACGCACCAAAGCCACTTTCCTAAACCTTTTTTATCCCTCATCAAACCTCTCAAAGCTCTATATTTGTCCATCCATATTTCCAATAAGAGTATAAAAACCTTTGAGGGGAGCTGTGGGCCAGATCAACCCTGGGGAAGTCTTACCTGCTGCCAAGAACATTTGACACTAGTGGGTTCTGCAGCATAATTCACAGTGCAGGAAGCTGGCATAGAGCCAGCTATGATCAATGAGATTACTACTTCAAGGTTGGTGGGAATAGACCAGAGAGCTGCTGCTTCCACCTGATCCTCTCTGTCCTTCAATAAACATCTCTAGCCTTGGAAGTCTCTTGTGTAAGTGTCTTCTACAACCTTTCAATTCAGCTCTGAGCACCAACTGACTAGATGTTTGTTTTTGTTGTCATATCCAACTCTTTGTGACTCTGTGGACCACATTGTCCATGGGGTTTTCTTGGCCAAGATACTGGAGTCGTTTGCTACTATCTTCTGTGGATTAAGGCAGACAGAGGTTAATTGACTTGCCCACAGTCACACAGCTAATAAGTATCTGAGACTGGATTTGAACTCAGGTCTTCCTGTCTCCAGGCCCAGTGTTCTATCCACTGAGCCACCCAGCTGCCTCCAGTTGGTTGGTACATCAAGCTAATTGACACTCTTCTCTACTCTTCTCCATATATCCCGTCAGTAGTTACATCTTGCTGTTTCTACCTCCACAAAGTCTTTCCTATGGGGCCCAGATATCACCTGACTTCAGGCTCTCATCTCCTTTTGCCTAGAGTATTACAACAGCATCCTGACTGGTCTCTCCTGTCTCAGATCTCTTCCCACCCTAATTCATCTACATGCTGCTGCCAAAGTGACTTTCCTGAAGTGCTGATCCAACCACATTATTCCTCTATACAATAAACTCCAATGGCTCATTTTTGTTTCTAGGATAAAATGTAAACATCTCGGTTTAATTTTTAAATCTATTTAAACAATTTTTTTTAAATTGTAAATTCCTTCATGTCCTAGCTCCAACCTATCTTTCCAGCTTCATTGTACTTCCCATACTCTGAGATCAAACCAAATTGGCCTTCCCATTTCTTCACACCCAACATTTCATCTCCTATCTCCATGCCTTTTGTATTAGACATTCCACATGTCTGCAATGCACTCCTATCGTGAGTACCACCTTCTTCATGAAGCCTTTCCTGATCCCCAAATGCCAGTCCCAAACTATCTTGTAATTAATTACTTTGTATTGATTTGTGTTTATCTTCTTTTATTCTTTACGTACTTACATAGAATGTAAGCTTCTAGCAAGTGGGGATTTTTTTACTCTTTGTACTTATATTCCCAGTGCCTAACACAATGCATGGGACACACAATACATGCTTCAAAATTCATATTGATTATCTGTGTACTTGATGTACCCCAAAATTAAACTGGAAATTCCTTGAACACAGGATGTTCATTGTAATCTTTCTTTGTATACATAATAGCTAGCTAGCATGATGCCTTGAACATGAAGCAAGAATTTGGGAAATCTTTGTCAGATTTAATTTAGTTATATATTATTTAAATCTATTCTGTTGCATTTTAAACTCATTTCATCTTTTTCTTTTTCCAGAGGAGATGAGGGGGAGAACTCCATCATTACCCTTTGTAAATGAACTTCTGAAGCTTTTCTCCACAGTATCGATTTTCCAATCATTTATTTTCATTCTTCTCATTTCTCAGTCTTTGGAGCCCCAAACAAGATTAAGTACTAAATTAGGCTACATACTGTGAAAACATTAGACAAATTTTCTACATGCCATATGTCTGTGATAATATCTCAGGGTTATATATATTTTTGGCAGCAGCATCATAGCATTGTACCGTCCATTCAGATCTTAGACCAAAGTCCACAAAGTATCAGTGTAGCTAAAGAAGCTTTGACATGCTTAGCAGAAGCTAGGAAGCACAGTGGATCAAGCGCCTGACTTGGAATTAGGAAGACCTAAATTCAGATCTTATCTTTGAACCTTACTAAGTGTGTGACCTTGAGCAAGTCACTTAGTCTGATCTTCACTTTCTACTTCTGTAAAAGGAGGATAATAATACCTGTAATTCTTTACTCATGGGGTGGTTGTGAGGCTTAAAAGAGATGAAATATCTGAAACTCTTTGCAAATTTTAAATCTATATAAATATTTGCAATTATTATTATTATCCCCTCAGAAATGTTCAGAGGAATGAGGTTTTTTCTATATGTGCTCTTCTACTAGATGTTTCTTACAAACCTATGGTGCCAAGGCAAAAAGGGAACTTAGAAAAACAATACCATAAATAAAATAAGGAAGAACTGAGGGAAAGTCACTCTTTAGAAGTAAAAATCCCTAATCTCTCAAACTTCCTCACTTACCTCTATGTAATTGTACATGGACAAATCCGAAATAGCATGATCATCTGGAATTCTAAATCTTGAGAATTCAGGAAGACAAGCACCTAGAAAACAAATAAAATGATTCAATCATGTCATCAAAAGGAGTCCCTTAAAGTATGGTAGGCTCTGTGTACTGCAAGTACATAGCATATATAATTACTATTGCATTTCATAGTAATTAGCCACCAATGGTCAACAGTTCACATGAAAGACTATAACTGATATTAGTTTTCAACTGCTAAACCAGACTTTTCTGGGTTTTTTTTTCCCTATTCCTTCTTTGGTAGTTATTCTGCAACTATAATTAGCATGAAGAATAACAGTTTTCCCTGATATCATTTACCACTTTGTCATCACCATCTTTCTCATTCTACAAAGGTTTGGGGTCTTATTCTTCAATGGCTGCAATTGTTTTGCCTACAAAAAGTCCATTCCCTCCCTTTAGACTATGAACTCTTTGAGAGTAGGGACTGTGTTTTTTACTTTCTTTGAATCTCAACCCTTGCTTAACATGGGGTCTGACACATAACAGACACTTAATAATTGCTTGGACCCTGTGTTGCAAAAAGGAAACAGTACCTGCCCTCATGGAGTTTACATTCTATGATATACCTAAATCAGTATATACAAAATATAGGGGATAATGACTAAGCCTGTTATTTCCCTGGTCTAGGGAACATGTAAAGAATGTGAAGAAGCTCATTTACCAAATTCAGGTCAGTGCCTTCTCTGCAAAGAGTCTTAGAGAGTTTTTGAGTGTCTCAGTCTTAGAGAGTTGCCCATAATGTTGAGAGGTTAAGTGATTTGCCCAGGGTCATAAAGCCAATTGTATCAGAGATAGGTCTTGAACCGTGGTCTTCCTAAGTCAGGGCTTAGCATGCTGTCTCTCTTACAAAATAAATACAAGTTAATGGGGGGGGAGGGGCACCAGCAGCTGTGGGTATCAGAAAAAGCTTCATGTAGAAGATGTCACTTATGGAGAGGTTTAAAGGAAACAAAGGTGTCTAAGAAGCAGAGATAGAGGGGGAAGACATTCCAGTCACAGAGGAAAGTAATTGTAAAACTGCAGAAACAGAATGGCATTTATCAGGAGCAATAAGGTCAATCTGGCCAAACTGTAGAGTTTACAAGATAGGGAGTAACGAATGAACTTAGAAAGACAGGTTGGGGCCAGGATGTGAAGGCATTTAAAAACTAAGCAGAGGAGCTTATATTTAATTCTAGAGGCAATAGGGGAATAATCAGAACTGAACCTTAGGAAAATGACTCCCATCTCCCAAACATACTCAAACCATGTTCCCTATGATTTAATCATGTTCACTCTCCCATGCCACATTTCCTAACATCTAAAGGGTCACTGACTAGCTATTGCCTGCTTTCTGGGCCAGTGCTGAGAGGGTGTTTTGGGTGCCAGAGATGGGGGCACCCAAATGAGAGATGATATCATGGAGGAAAGGAACAGAACAGTGAGAATGGGCTCTGGATCCCTAGTATCAAGGCGTTTTAGAATAAAGGGATAGTAGAGAAGGGTTAAGGAAGAAGTTTTCAAGTGTGAAGTCTAAACTATGTTTATAACAATACTGATAATTTTTATAATAATACTAGAGGGACTCATTTGGGAAGGCTGGGAATCCTTTGAATAGGACAGGCCTCCTTCTTGGTCTTCAGAAGACTCACCCATGGCGTTACTCTCTGTTTTTATATATATATGCACAACATTGAATAGTAATATATACTAATACTTTCTTTCTGTAAAGTACATATTAGTTGAATTCCTATATGTTAAATGTATATATGATACAAATCTACTGTAATGTATAATAGTGATATTCTAAGTACCAGTAGCAAGGGGGATACTTTGGGTGTACTGGGGCCTTTTAATAGAACCCTTCAAATCACATTCATCACTTTTTTCCTTCTACTGAGCCAAAATTTGCCTCCTTCTTCCCTCCATGGTCAACCCCTGGAATTTCTCATTTAGTCACTCTTACAGAATTCTGTAAATTGATCTTTTTGCTCATTTAGTTTCTAGCCCACTATCTAGTTATGTAGCAAGAGGCTAGCTATCCATTTTTATATCCATGATACAAATAGATTATTTTCACCTCATATTTTTTCACAGAATAATAGAATCCTAGGGTTGGAAGGAACCTTAAAGGTCATTTAGTCCAGCTTCCACTAACCAAAACCCCTTGACACCCTTGTCAGTCATCTAGTTTCTACTTGAACACATCTGGTAATGAGGAATCCATTCTTATAGGTCAGCCCATTCCATTAAAAAAAAAAAAAACCTTTAATTGTTAGAAAGTTCTTGTTCAAATTGAGCCATAGATATGTCTCCTTGAAATTTCTCAATAATTCTGGTTTTATTCACTGGTGCTACACAGAATAAATCTAATTTCTTGTTAATTTCTCTGTGGGATAGTGTTTTACCATTTAGGGACAGGAACAGTAGTGAGTTCCATTAACCAGTTTTTTAATTATTATTACTTTTTTTATAAAAGTCTGGTGGTAGAGGAAGAAAAAACTGGTAGCTAAATGAGGTTTGGAGGTGACCCATGGATTTCACTTACCTATAACTTACTTATACACTTTTAGTAGGTATCACTGGATTAAAAATGGTTAAATTTCCTTATGTTTGTATGAAATCTACATTCTATGATTTAACTCTAATTATCAATCTACTAGAAAAATAAAGTAGAAGTGATATGTTTAGCAGACCCAAGAAACCCACCATCTCTAAATTTTGCCAAACAGGAATATCCACATAGTGGTAGACAAAGTCAGAATTTGAGAGAGCTAAAAAAAGCAAAAGACAGAGCTATGGGTTCTACTGACTTTTCTTCTACAAACTGTAGCTACCTCGCGGTCTTAATGCTCCGTTAACTGAGTAGCTAGCTGGCTTTCATGGGAAATAAATGCCACAGGAGGAAGCCAGGCACACCAAAGCTATCAGTATTGTTTCTGGTTTTAAGTAACCTCTTGCTAACTTACCCAAAAGGGATTTTACTTACTTAAGTCATTATGGTATTTATCCATTAATTCATCAAATACCAAACAGTCTTCAAAGCCCTGAAAAGAGATACATCCAAGATAGTAAACTGGCAATAATAAAAGTCTACCAGGTTCTTAAATATGCATACCCTCTTTAACAAATGAATTTAAATTACATAAAACTTTCCTCAGTCAAGGAAGAATAATTGAGCCCTTATTCATCTTGCTCTGTTGTTTCTGTTGTTTTTTTTAATGCAGACTATTCAAGCATTAAATAAGAGATAGGTATAGTAGGTAGGCCCTAAACTTGGAAAAAGGATGACCAAATTTTGCCTCAGACATTTAATTGCTGGTTTGTTGTTCAATTATGTTTGACTCTTTGTGACCTCATTTGAGGTTTTCTTGACAAAGATACTGTAGTGGTTTGCCATTTCCATCTCCAGTTCATTTTCCAGATGAAGAAAGTGAGGCAAACAGGGTTAAGTGACTTGCCTAGGGTCACCCAACTATTAAGTGTCTGAGGCAAGGTTTGAACTCAGGAAGACTCATCTTCCTGAGTTCAGGCCCAGGAATCTATATACTGTGCCACTTAGCTGAGATGTGCTGGTAAATGCTTAACAACCAGTTCTCCAGGAAAAAAAAATAAACTTAAAGTTTAACCTGCCTTATTAACATTTTCTCCATTATTTTATCAAGCCCTTTTTTGCAGCCTTATGTCTGTTGTGCAAATGGTTACACTGAACACTTAACAATTGGCTCTCACAAGACAGCTGGTTAGAGCTGGCTCCAGCACGCCCCTATTTAATAGTTATATGACCTTTAAGATGAGTGTTCCCCTAATTTATGTCTTTGGTCCTCTTCTTCTCTTTATGCTCTTTCTTGGCAATTTCATTCATTCTCATATTTTAACCACTACTTATAAAGAGATAATTTTCACTTTATATTTCTATTTCCATGACTGGGATGTCCTATGGGCACTATAAACTCAACAAGACCCACACAAAATTATTGTTTCTCCCTAACACTGCTCCTCCTTCTGACACCATTATACCTATTAGTGGTACCACCACTTACTTTGTCCCCATCTTCCAAGCCTTCATGTTATATTTGACTTTTGTTCTTCCTTACCTTTCACATTTGATAAGTTAGCAAGTATTATAGATTTTATCCAAGATATCTGTCATGTCCATTCCCTCCTCTCAAACTCCACTGCCACCACCAAAATACTGGACCTCATTACTACCCATTTAGACCATTACTATAGCTCATTACAATTATTCCCACCTCCACTCTCTTCTCTCCAATGAGCCTTCCTTCCTCCACACCAATGCCAGACTGATTTACACACATATATCTTGTCTGCTCAAAAAATATTTAGTGGCTCCCTATATTCCCTTTCAAGTCAAATTAAAGCTACTTTGCTTGGCGTTTAAGGCCTGCCACAATCTGGCGCCACCTCCCCTTCCAGCCTTATCTCATCTTCTCCCCTGTATGCTTCTATCTTCTTGCCAAACTGGACTAATCTCTGCCTGGGGAATACACCGCATTCCTTCTTTTCTCTGTGCCTTTGCTCACTCTGGCCTGATGCCTGGAATATCCTCCATCTCCTTTCTTGCCTACTGAATGGCCTTTAAAACCCAAGGTAAACCTCACCTCCTTCATGAAGGCTTCCATTAATCCCCTCCTCTCTTGTCAGTAATAACATTCTCCTATGACCTCATCTAGTATTTTATCTTGAACTTCTCTAGAGAATTTATCAGGTAAAATTATATATTATAGTTAGTTGTTTCTGTGTGTTATTTCCCTAATAGACTTTTAAGTTCTATGATGGCCAGGACCATTTTATGTAAACTTTGTATGGAAAGCAAAAGGCATGTTTGAATCACAGTGAGTAGCAGTGAGTAAACCAGTTTGACCTAGTTTACTGACTAGAGTAATAGGGTTGCTATCAGTATATATACTGATCTTTCCAATTAAAAAATAAATTCTTATAAAAGAGAACTATAAAAAGAAGTGCTTATGCTCACCAACTGTTTAGACCTTTGAAAACTAAATTATGTCTCTACCACTAACACTAATGGGGGGGGTAACATTTTTTTAAAATTTTTAAACTTAAATAAAAATGAGGAAAGAAAAAAAATATCATGTACACAGCAGATCATAAGAGAGGATTCAATATAAAACAATAAATGTCCATTTCAAGAAAACCTATATAATAAATACTACACATTGTCTTCAAAGATGCCCAGCTTTTCTTTGCTTCCTTATTAGTTTTGTTTTGTTCTCTGCTGTGCACTTTTTATTTTATTTTCCCCCTTCCTCTCCCCTGCCCCAGAAGGCTACTGTTAAGCATGAATATATATCTATAGATATATGTATACACACATATGTATGTACACATATACACATACATAGGTATCTATAAACAGATACATATATAAACATATATACTCATATACATATATGTAAAGCCATACTATGCTTATTTCCTCCTATAATCTGTTTCTCTGAAGGTAGATAGCATCTTCCTTCTTAACTCTAAGTATTTCCATGTTTTTCTAAATCAACCAGCTCACCATTTCCTACACTACAGCAATATTCCCACCCAATCACGTCCTATCTGAGAGATTTTTTATGAAGGTTTTTTCCCCCAATGTTCTGCATTCCTTCTATTCTTGGTTACATAGGTTTTATTTATACAAGAAATTTTTAATTTGAAATAATCAAAATTATCCTTTTTACATTTCAACAATGCTCTCAACTTATAATATAGTTTAAAGTCTGATACTACTGAATCTATTTTTTTTTATATCCTTTTCCCCTGGTTTCTTTGAAGTTCCTAACTTTTTGTTCTTCTGAACGAACTTTGTTATTAATTTTTCTAACTCAGTAAAACATTTTTTTTGCAATTTAATTGGGATGATATTGAATAAATAGATTAGGTAAGATTGTCATTTAAAAATTATGTTGGCTTTACTTGCCCATGAACAATAAATATTACTTCAATTATGTAGATCTGAGTTTAGTTGTATAAAAAGTATTGTATGTTTACATTCATTGAGTTCCTGTGTCTGTTTTGGCAGGTATGCACCTAGGTATTTTAAATGGTGTAAAACAATATTGAATAATATTGCTGACACATAGTATAGTTTCTCTGTTTTTCACTTTTGATTAAATCTATTTTAACTTTAAGATCATGATTACTATCCTTACTTTTTTTTACATACTAAATTCTACTCCTGTCCTTTATTTATCTTTGTGTGTATCTCTCATTTTTATAATGTTTCCTGAAAGCAACATATTGTTGAATTCAAATTTTTGATCTGCTATGCATTTCTGTTTTATGGGTAAATCCATCCTATTCACATTTTAAGCTACAATTACTTGTGTATTTTCCTACTTCCAATTTTTCCTCACATCCTTCTCACCCTATTTACTCTATCCCTCCTCACTCCTCTGCTGCCTTGCCCTTCCCCTATTCCTTAACCTACCCACCTTTCTAAGGATCCCTCCCTTATCCTATCTCCCCACCCTATCCTCCTGCCCTCTTATTTCTTTCTGAATTTAGAAAACTTTTATACCCTTCTAGATATACATGTTGTTCTCTCTTTCATTCCCAATGAGTAGGTTTCAGCACTACCTATTCTTCCCCCTACTATTTTTTCTTTATCAATTATTCTTTTTAATGCCTCATTTGTATAATTACTCCTTTTTAATCTCTCCCTACACAGTTTTACTCTTTTAGAATCACCCCATCATACTCAGTTCAGCCCAAGCCTTTCTGCAAAGTACCCAAATAATGATGACAGTCATAAAAGTACTGCTAATATTTTCACATACATGAAGTAAACCATTTAATCTTATTGAGTCTCTTATAATTGGTCTTTAATGTTTACCCTATATTTCTTTTAGATATTATATGTCGAATTTTCCCTTAAGTTCTGGGGTTTTTGTTACAAAAACCTGAAAATCTTTGAGTTCGTTGAATGTCCATTTTTTTTCCCTTCAAGATTGTACTTAACTTTGGTGGGTAAGTTTACCCTTGGTTATAACCCCAGCTCTTTTGCTTTACAGAATATAGTATTCCAAGACCTATGGTCCTTCAACATAGTAGCTGCTAGGTCTTGTGTAATCCTTATTGTAGCGTCATGATTTTAATTTTTTTTTCTTATTGCTTCCAGTATTTTCTCCTTAACCTGGGAGCTTTAAAACTTGGCTATGATATTCCTGTAAGTTTTCCTCCCAGGATTTCTTTCTGGTAGTAATCGGTAGATTTTTTCTATTTCTACTTTTGCCTTTCTGTTCTAGAATTTCAGGATAATTTTCCTTGATAATTTCTTGTAATATTGTGCCAAGATTCTTTTTTTTATAATGAAAAAACTGAGGTTCAGAGGCATTAAGTGACTTGCCCACTGACCACATGGCTAGTAAGTTTCAGAGGCAGGGTCTGAACCCTGGTTTCCTGACTCCAAGTTCTTTCCATTATACCTTACTGCCTCAATATGATTTTGTCCAATATTTGTAGACCATTCATATCTTGGGTGCTACAGTCCCTAGCTTCCAGAAAGGATACCACACACCCAAGCAGGGTAGCATATTTAATACACACAACAGATAATAAATACAACTATATAGATACCATCCAAATATATATCAAACACTTTCCTTTATAGGCTTATACTTTTTAAGCATTTTATCTTTGGCCCTGTTTGAAATCTCTCTTGGTGAATTCATGGTTTAGGTTCCATCTTCTCTCCCTGTTTTTCTTGGTTTTTCTATAGAAGCTATTTTTGGGAAGCCATCATGATTTCACTTGTGTTCCCTTTTATCATTTATTTTTTATTCATTCATTAATCATCTTGAAGATACTCAACCCTTTACTTTCCTTCCAGAAAACCATTTCTCAACAAGAATACTGAATTTTCATAGGAGGCATAATTTATTTAAGTTTTAACTGTGTTTAATACTTTTATTTAACCCTGACAAACAGGGAGTCACTTCTTTACTTAGGTTGGCGATACAGAACATGGATCCTATAAAAATATATGTAAATGCACACACTTGTATATACTTATGTGAATATATGTTATGCATGTATTACATCTATCTATCTATGAATGCATGCATATATACATATGTGGCCTTGAGCTGCTAAAAAGATCAATTTTAAAATTCTAAACATGCATTCATTTGTCTGATTGAACCAAAAACTGTATTGTGATTCCCCTACCCTAACCCTCTTAGCCATATCTGCATGGGACTATCGATTCAACTGTTTTCACTTAATTGCCTGGCCTGATCTGCCAAATGGCCTTTGAGTGACTCTTTTACTAACTAATTAGTTCTTGGGGATTATATGAGAACAGCCTTTGACCTCAGGTAATTGGGATATTTCACTTGAGATGATGCCTTCAGTCACTTGCTTAGCAAAGGGAACTCACCGCATTCATGCCTTGTCCAAAAAAGGGCACAATTGCATGGGCCGCATCCCCCATGAGTACACACTGGGAACCAATGTGGAATGCAGAGCACTTGACAGCTATCATAGGCTGGGCTGGCAGCAGAAAGTAATCTCGCTTCAGTGCTTCCCTTCCAGGAGGCAAAAATCACAACATATATGGATTAACATGAAGCATCAGAGTTTATACCCTGGTGAAACTTCCTTCTCTATGTGTAAGCCTAAGACTTTGTCACATTAAAATATACCTAGGTATGCCAATGAAGAAACAGGAAAAAAAAAACTTAAAGTTCTGCACGGCTCTGGTATCCTGTGGGTCTATGTTTCTAATTACAAAACAATTATTTACCATGCCTGTTACAGTGCAAATATATTCAGGCTGAGGTTAAGTAACCAAATTAAGTTCTAGCTATTTCCCTGTTATGCAATTTTCAAATTCATTAATATGTTTTGGGAAGTTCAATTTAACTATTTTGGTATTTCAATCTAAGTATTTCCATGAAAGAAGAGCAGTTTCTAGAATGCTTTGAGGTTTACAAAGAACGTGCTTTATAACAAGTCTGTTAAGGACATAGTACACATATTATTATCCACATTTTACAAATGAAGAAACAGGTTCAGAGAGGTTAGGTGATTTGCCTAAAATCACGTAACTAAAATCCAGCCACCTTGATTGCACGTTTGGTGATTTTTCAATGTCTATGATAATAGTTAAGTTTCAACAATTTCAAATGAAATTCCCCAAACATCACCAGCAATTTCAGATCCTTCAGGAATTTGACGTACATTCTATTCAATCAAAGCACTTGCTCTGAGTGAATGCAAACAGCAACTGTTTCTCTTTTGGCCAGCAACCCTGAGGGTCTTCCCCTCCTAGTTTGATATTTTTTTTTATTAAAGGGACCATCCCTAGACTCACTTCTTAAATAGATCTATTATTCACTGAATGGGCCTTGCCTCACTCAAAGTGAGAACCTGAAAAGACCTTAGCTTAAAAGGGCCAGGGTCTCCCATTGCATCCTGGACCATCTCCAGTCATCCTGATGAGTATCTGGCCACTAGGCCCAGATGGCTCTGGAGGAGAAAGTGAGGCTGGAGACCTTGCACAGCCCTCCCTCACTCAAATCAAAGTCAATTCCAAGTATGTCATCATCTCCCAGATGTTACGGTCCTCTTCTAGAATGAAGGACAAACACAACAACAACAACAACAACTATATGCCCGGGACTGAGCTGTACTAATAGACGATAAGAAACAATTGCTTCTCAACCCTCAAAGTCAAGAGGTAATCAATCTCTGAAATCAAAAGATTACCTCAATCTCAGAGGTAAAACCCTTCTCCTCTCTTCTCTCTCTTTGTCTCTGTTTCTCTCTGTCTCTGTCCCTGTCCCTCTTTCTTTGTGTCTCAAACATACAATATGTGCATGCGCTCACATACACATGCACACACACACATGACACAGTTCCAAAGACTTGTTTTTTGTCTACAGAATGAGTTAGCAGTAGAAAGGTCACTAGACTTGGAATCAGGATCTAACATAAGCTAACAAAATGCAGAAAAGCTTTTGGGCAAATCCCTTGACCTTTCCGGAACTAAGGAGTTCCTCATTTATAAAACGAAGGTACTGGATTAGATGACATCTAAGATTCCTTTTAGCCCTTTTAAACTTAGGGTAGGCACTATCTTGGAAGAAGAACTGAATTAAGAGTCAGAGGATCTGAATTCAAATTCTGATTCTGCTACTTGCTACCTATATGACCTTGGGCAAGTCAGTTCACCCTTCTGGACTTTCTTCATTTGTAAAATGAAAAGATTGATCTAAATAACTTCTCTGGAGGCTTCCAGATCAAATTTTGGTCCTGGGATCTTAACATCATCATCATCACATTCCACCAAAAAAGCACACGCAAGAAACCTTTCCTAGAGAATATTTTTGGGGGGTGGGATTGGGAGAAGAGTCTGGGGATTATGCAAAATTTCTCATCAAAAGAAAAAATCTGCTCAGATTTTATGTTCTAATGCAGGTTCAGATACTGGTGATTGTATAAGTGATCTAAATTAAAGAGAAGAGTTTAAAATCCCTTGCTTGATTTTATACAACTCAAGTTCATGAACCAGAAAGTACAATTGTGGATAACGAAACTTACTCTCCCATTAGGGGGATGGAATCTGGGAAGTATTTCTGGAAGAAATCCAGCACATCACTACCTGTCGTGAGCTTTTCAAAATCTTCAAAGGGCATGAACAAAGTACAAGTAAATGATCTGTTCTGTGAAGAGAAAAAAGGCACCTCACATATCAAAGGAATCAGGGATCTGGAAAATGTAGCCATTGAAGAGATAGCACCAAGTCACAGTACTCTTGGCTAGGCACTTCAGTGTCAGAGAGGAATCCTAGTTGTATGGTTTGAAGCCTAATACATATATAACTGATGGAGGGAAATCTCACCCCTTTACCCTCACTCTTATACCAAAAGTATATAGGAAGTCCCAGGACTGTTCCCACAGGCCCATATTGGGTTAAATATTCTGTCTCTTAACTCAAAACTGTGAAAGCTCATTAGTTTTTTCCCAAGAATGCACTTGACTATCCAGAATGCTAAGTAACAGTCTTGGGCTGAGTTAAGCATCTCCTTTATCCTTTCTCCTTTATCTTTCCTGGGGACATTAACAAGAAATGCACACATACACATACACATATATGTGTATGTGTATGTGTATATATATATGTATGTATGTATGTATGTATGTATATGTATACATATCCAGTCATTCAGTCATGTCCAAATCTTCATGACCCTATAAACCATACATAGCACTCTATGCCCTTCTATCCTCCTCTATCTCTTGAAGTTTGTACAAGTTTATGTTCATTGCTTCCATGATACTATCTCTCCATCTCATCCTCTGCCATCTCCTTTTCTTTTTGCTGTCAATCTTTCCCAACATCAGGTTCTTTTCCAATGAGTTTCATTTTCTCATGTTAGCCAAAGTATCTAAGCTTCAGCTTCAGTATTTGACCTTCCAGTGAGTAGTTTGAATTTGCTTTAGGTATTGACTGATTGATCTTCTTGATGTCCAAGGGACTCTCAAAAGTCTTCTCCTGTACCACAATTCAAAAGCATCAATTCTGCAGTGCTCAGCTTTCCTTATAGTCCATCTCTCACAGCCACACATTGCCACTGGGAAAACCACAGCCTTGACTTATACGGACCTTTGTTGGCAAGATGATGTCTCTGCTTTTTAGTACGCTGTTCAGATTTGCCATAGTTTTCCTTTCAAGGAGCAAGAGTCTTTTAATGTCATGGCTGCAGTGTCCATCTTCAGTGATCTTTGAGCCTAAGAATATAAATCTGACACTACTTCCATTTCTTCTCCCCCCATTTGCCAGGAAGTAATGGGACCATTTGTTAAGGTATTATTTTTTTATGTTAAGCTTCAGACCAGCCTTTACCTTCTCTTATTTCACCCCCATCAAAGAGGCTTCTTAATTCCTCTTCACTTTCTGCCATCAGAGTGACATCGTTTGCTTATCTGAGATTGTCGATATTTCTCTGGGCAACCTTAATTTTGGCTTTTGATTCATCCAGCCTGGCATTTCATAAGATGTACTCTGCGTATAAGTTAAATAAGGTGACAACATATAGCTTTGTTGAACTCCATTTCCAATCTTAAATCAATCAGTTGTTACATGTTTGGTTCTAACTGTTGCTTCTTGGCCTGCATACCGGTTCCTCAGGAGACAAGCAAGATGATCTGGTACTCCCATCTCTTTGAGGACTTACTGCATTTTGCTGTGATCCACACAGTCTTTTCAATGAAGCAGAAGCAGATGTTTTTCTAGAACTCCTTTGCTTTCTCCATAATCCAGCAAATGTTGGCAATTTGGTCTCTAGTTCCTCTGCCTCTTTGAAAACCAGCCTGCAGTTCTGGTAATTCTCGGTTCATATATTGCTGAAGCCTAGCTTGCATTTTTAACTTGCTGGAGTGTGAAACGAGCACTTTTTTTTTTTTTTGTAATTTGAACATTCCTTGGCATTGCTCTTCTTTAGGATTGGGATGTAAAATTGATATTTTCCAATCCAGTAGTCACTGTTGAGTTTTCCAAATTTGCTGGCATATTGAGTGCAGCTCTTTAACAGCCTCATCTTTTAGGATTTCAAATATCTCAGCTGGATTTCCATCACCTTCACTAGCCTTATTTTTAGTAATGCTTCCTAAGGCCCACTTAACTTCATTTTCTAGGATGTCTGACTTTAGAGCAGTGTGGTTATCAGTGATGTTAAAATCTTTCTTGTATGGTTCCTTTCTGTATTCTTGACACCTCTTCTTAATCTCTTCTGCTTCTGTTAAGTCCCTACTATTTTTGTCTTTTATCATGCTTATTTTTGCATGAAGCATTCCCTTGATATCTCTAATTTTCTTGAAGAGATCTCTTGTCTTTCCTATTTTATTGTTTTCTTCTATCTCTTTGCATTGCTCATTTAAGAAAATCTTATTTCTCCTTGCTATTCTCTGGAATTCTGCATTCAATTGAACATATCTTTCCCCTTCTCCTTTTTTTGCTTTCCTTCTTTCCTCAGCTATTTGTAAAGCCTCATGAGACAGTCATTTTGCTTTCTCACTGTTCTTTTTTTTTTTTTCGAATGTTTTTTGTTGCTGCCTCCTGTACAATATTGCAAACCTCTGTCCATAGTTCTTCAGGCACTCTATCTATCACCACATCTAATCCCTTATAATCTATTCATCACCTCCACTTCATATTGATAAGGGATGCAATTTAGGTCACATTTATTCAGTCTGATGGTTTTCCATACTTTCTTCAATTTAAATCTGAATTTTACATTAAGCCCATGATCTGAGCCGCAGTCAGTGGAGCTTCTCCACTTTTGGCTACAAAGTATATAATCAATTTGATTTCTATATTGACCATCTGGTGATGTCCATGTTTAGGGTCACCTTCTGAGGTTTTGAAAAGAGTGTTTATTTTCATCAGTGAGTTATCTTAACAAAACTCTGTTAGTGACTGCCCTGTTTCATTCTGTACGCCAAGGCCAAACTTCCCTGTTATTCCAATTATATTTTTATTTCCTACTTTAGCATTCCAATCTCCTATGTAGGAATGACATCTTTTTTTGGTGTTATTTCTACAAGATGTTGTAGGTCTCTATAGAATTGATCAGCTTTGGCCTCTTTGGCATCAGTGGTTGGAGCATAGACTTGTATTACTATGATGGTGAATAGTTTGTCTTGGATTTAAATAGATTTCATTGGTTTTTTTTTGAGATTATACCCTGGTACTGCTTTTATGACCCTTTTATTGACTATGAGGGCTTCTCCATTTCTTCTAAGGGATTCTTGCCCATAGTAGTATATGTAATGATTACCTAAATTAAATTTATTCATTCCTGTCCATTTAAGTTCACTGACACCTAAGATGTTAATATTTAATCTTTCCATCTCCTGTTCGACCACATCCAGTTTACCTTGGTTCACAGATCTTACAGTCCAGGTTCCTATGCAATATTGATCTTTATAGTACTGGACTTTCCTTCATCACCAGATGTATCCACAACTGAGCTTCCTTTTGGCTTTGGCCCAGCCACTTCGTTAGTACTGGGGCTACTTGTAGTCCTCCTCAGCTCTTCCCCAGTAGCATATTAGACACCTTCCAACCCAAGGACTCATCTTTCAATATTTCTTTTATCATTTTAGTACTGTCCATGGGGTTTTCTTGGCAGAGACATTGAGTGATTTGCCATTTCCTTCTCCAGTGGATCACCTTTTGTCAGAACTCTCCACTATGTCCATCTGGGGTGACTCTGTACTGCATAGCTCATAGTTTCCTTGAGCTACACAAGCCCCTCTGCCATGACAAGGCAGTGATCCAGGAAGGGATTAACAAGGAATAGAAATGGTCAAATGGCAGGGGAGGTAGTTGGTATAGTGGAAAAGATGGCATATTTGGAGTCAGTAGAAACCTAGGTTTAAAACTTGTCCCTGATATTACTAGTTGTGCAACTATGTGCAAGTCACTTAACCTTTATGAGCCTCAGTTTCCTCCTCTGTAAAATTTTAATGCTACTATTAATTCACATGATAATTGTATAGACTAAATGAAATATGATTTATGAAATTTATATGAATATCAGTTATTATTATTTAAAATTTTTTTCCTGTACCTAGCATAGTGCCTTGCACATAGAAAACACTTAAGATGTGTTTCAGTTGCTGAGTTAAATTACAGCAGGTAGAATAAAGAGGAAAAGTGCTGACAAGTGGAAAAAATTCCCCAGCCTTCTTTGGTAATGCCATAAACAACCACTCAAGACCATAGGTCAATTCATTTTCATATATTACATAGAAGTTAAATATCCTCATAAGTATTCAATTAATTTTGAGAAACATTTATTAAGCAAATAGGACAACACATATGTGCCAGTGGTCCTTGATGTTTGAAATGGTCTTTCTCCTAACCACCACTTCTTAGGTTCCCTGACTTCCTTTAAAAGGTTCCACTCAGAAAAATATTAAAAGAAAATCTTTCATATGAACAAATCCTGATTCCTTCAAGTTTTTCCTCATAGGGCCTATTTTTTGAAAATATTTAGTCATTCATTAAATAAGTAAAAGCTTAAAAAATTAACCATATACAGTAGTAAGTAAAGAAACAAATGAACAATACATACACAAATGTGATTCATGGTGCAATATACTTTACCTGGTTAGGAAGAGCAATCATCATGAAAGTGTTTCTTGGCCAAATGTGTAGATAATTAGGTTCCATGGCATACTGTAGGGGGAAAACTCACAGATGTTTACTAAAACATTAACCAAATACCTCTATTAAACTCATTCTACATATGGCATAAATGTTTCCCTGATAATGTAACTATAATAGTGTCATTTCTCAAACAGAATGACTTGACTATCACTGGGCCCATCAGAGAGTTTCTTACAGTCTCTAACAGAACCCAAAGTATGTTGTCCTTGTGGTACTGGAATGATATATTGCCTCAGCATATTTGTTTCTTATGTGCAGTCTTTACTCCAATTGTACTTCGAATTTGTATGAACTCTTCTCACTGATGTTGTGTTTGTGTGTGCCCTAGGCTTATAAGGAGGATTGTTTCAAAGCTACAGTTCTTATTCTACCATTTTAGCAAATGCTTTTCCTTTGAGCTAATCATGTCTACTGGTTGACAGTTGATGGGAAGCACTAAAGGAATTCTTAATATAATGTATCTAACAGGTGGACATCCAGTTTCTGTTTGAAGACTTCCAAGGAAGATGAACCCTTGATAGATCAAGGCATGTGTTACAGTGAAGACTCAAAGCCTCTGACTAGACAATATCATACAAACATAACAGGACACAATTTTCCAAACTTGTTCAAAATGCATGAATAATTTGTTCTGGCTCTGGATGTAACTATCTAAAGTTGTTGGCTGATATATAGTAGTATCATCCCTTCACAGAATGGTACAAATATCAATAGATCTGGTCAAAGGACTTGGGTTTGAATCCTAAGACTTGCCAAATATCAGCCATAAGATTTTGGGCAACTTATTTCATTTTGAGAAATTGGTTTCCTCCTCTGCAAAGTGAGAAAATTGGATTAGATAAACTCCAAAGTCCCAACTAGTTTTAAATCTACAGTTCTGTGATCTAACAAGCGTCTGACTGGATGACAGTTAAGAGATGATGTTTTAGTAAAATGAAAATATTTATCAATGCTATTTGCTAGTTCTGACTTAGGAACCAACATTCCACTTGTGTCTGTTGACAATGCATTTCATTATAACTTCTTGGTTTCATTTGCTTATGACAACATAAAAGTTCTCGCCCTGTATGCTAAAAATATTTCCATTTACACTGTTGTAGTCATTTTGTATATTGTTTTCCTTGTAAGGAAAAATATTTCCTTAAGCCAAAAGGGAGAAGAGAAGCATCCTTGTACTAAATCCAAACTTGCCACTGACTTTTTTTAGCTTAATATTTAAACTAGCCAGGACTTTGACTTGGCATTCTTTCGTGGAGTAGTGACCATGTTTTCTTAAAGTAATACACACCACTCTACAATACTTCCTTTATAAAAGGTAACTAAAAAAAGATAGAGGAGAAATGTTAATGAGGGAAAAAAATGGAGATTTCCTTACCTCCCCATTCTTAGGTGGAATAGTCAGTTCCATGTACCCATGAGGAATATACTGTTGACTGTAGTTGAAGCGAGCCCGTTTCATGAACTGTGTTCTTACTGTTGAATAGGCTCCATCACACCCTACAATAAGGTCACAAGTAACTTCTACAGGTACCTGATTCGATCTGTGAAATCAAGTAAAGAGTTAATCTGTAGGCATAATGATAACAATAGAGATGTCCACCACTTCAGTGTAACTGGGATTTGTCTTGTGGATTTAGCAGTAGCACTCGGTAGAACTTTTGGTATGAGCTATGGATTTTCAACTCTTTGTATTTTGTATTATCTGTAGACAAAACAAAGAGAAGAATAATTGCCCTGACTTACTTCAAAGATTGTAAGGCAGCTAGGTGGCACAGTACATAAGAGTGTTGGACTGGGAGTAAGGAAGATGAGGTCAAATCCTGCCTTAGATACTAGCTGTGTGACCCTGAGTATGTCACTTCTCTTTGCCTCAGTTTCTTCAACTCTAAAATTGGGATAATAATAGCACCTTTCTGTTGTGAGGATCAAATGAGATGTATATTACTATATAAAATACTTTGCAAACCTTATAGTACTACGTAAATGCTAGCTATTATTGTTGTTGTTTTCATTATTGCTGAGAGTGACCCACACTAATGCACTGTTGGTAGAGTTATGAATTAGTATAACTATTTTGGAAAGCCACTGGAATTTGGAATTATGCTAAGAAGGTGAGTAAATGTCAATACCCTTTGTCCAAGAGATTCCACTGCTAGGCATATACCCCAGTGAGGTCAAAGATTAATAAAATGGCCCTATATACACCCAAATATTGATGGCAGCACTTTTGTAGTGGCAAAGAACTGGGAACAAAGTACATACCTACTAGGAAATCAATAAACAAGTTATGGTACATGAATATAAGGGAACATTCTGATCCTTTAAGAAATGTTGGATATAGTGAACAGGGAGAAATATGAGAGAACATGCAAATCAATACAAAGTGAAATAAGCAGAACAAGGAAAACAACATACATAATGACCACAACTATGTAAATGGAAAGAACTGCCACCACAAAACAAATGAAACTGAACAATGTGAAATTAGAATGGCTAAGCTTGGCCCCAAAGAAAAGACATGAGAAGGCACCTCCTTTTCTTCTTTGTAGAGTAGGGGAAGGGGGTAGATAATTAGTGTGGAACTTTGCATATAATGCCATTGGTCAGTTTTGCTGAGCAGTTTTTTTTTTCTTTTTCATTCTTTGTTGTAAGAGATAGCTCACTAGGAGGTGAGGGGGAAGAATATATTGGGAATGTAAATGATGTAAAAACAAATGATATCAATAATTTTTTTGGTGAGGCAATCGAGGTTAAGTGACTTGCCCAGGGTCACACAGCTAGGAATTGTCAAGTGTCTGAAGCCAGATTTGAACCCAAGTCCTCCTAACTCCAGGGAAGGTATTCTATCCACTGCACCACCTAGCCACCCCTATCAATAATTTTTTTTAACTTAAAAAAGTAACCCATAATACTGTTCATTGGAAAGACTTATGTATCTGGAGTGAGGGGATCTGAGTTCAAATATAAGCTCTACTACTTTCTTCTTGACTGACCTTGAGCTCACCTTAACCTCTAGGACTCAGTGTTCTCATCTGTAAAATGAAAGGTTTGGACTAAATGAGGATTAAGGTTTCTTCTAGCTTTAAATATATAATCCAATGATCATCCTCATATTCAACAAACATTGACTGACTGCCCACTATGTGCAAGGCACTGTGTTGGGCTTCAGGAGCATAGAAGATGGAAGAATCGATAAGGCCTAGGATGGTTAGAGGTTTCATGGATGAGATGGGACTTGAGCTAGGCCTTTAAGATAGGGTAGAACTTAAGATAAAGGAAAATAGTAGGGACAGCAATCAAGATAACAGAAAAAAAGACTTGGAAGAAGGAATGTGTATAGTCAAGGAACAATGACCAGATCAACATGACTAAAGCATATAGGTCATTTAGCAAAGTTGTAGTAAATGAAGTTGGTACTTGGTACTGGCTAAGAAATAGAGTGGTAGATTAGTGGAATAGGTTAGGTACACAAGACACAGTAGTAAATGACTAGAGTAATCTACTGTTTGATAAATCGAAAGACTCCAGCTTCTGAGATAGGAAGCACTATTTGACAAAAACTTTTGGGAAAACCAGAAAATAGCATGGCAGAAACTAGGCATAGATCAACATTTCACACCATATACCAAGATAAGGTCAAAATGAGTACATGATTTAAACATAAAGGGTGATACCATAAGCAAATTAAGACAGCAAGGAATAGTTTACCTGTCAGATCTATAGAGAAGGGAAGATTTTATGACTAAACAAGAGATAGAGAATATTATAAAATGTAAAATGGTTAATTTTAATTACATTAAATTAAAAAGGTTTTACACAAAGTCAATGCAACTAAGATTAGAAGGAAAATGGAAAGCTGGGAAACAATTTTTATAGCCAGTGTTTCTGATAAAGACCTCATTTCTCAAATATATAGAGAACTGAGTCAAATTTATAAGAATACAAGTCATTCCCCAAATGATAAATGGTCAAAGGATATTAACAGGCAGGTTTCAGATGAAAAAATCAAAGCTATCTATGGACATATGAAGAAGTGCTCTAAATCACTACTGATTACAGAAATGCAAATAAAAACAACTCTGAGGTACCACCTCATACCTATTAGATTAACTAACATTACAGAAAAGGAAAATGATAAATGTTGGAGAAGATGTAGGAAAATTGGAACACTAATGCATTGTTGGTAGAGTTGTGAACTGATCCAACCACTCTGGAGAGCAATTTGGAACTATGCCCAAAGGGCTATAAAACTGTGCACACCCTTTGACCCAGCAATAGCACTACTAGGTCTGTATCCCAAAAAGATCATAAAAAAGGGAAAAGGACTCACATGTACAGACATATTTATAGCAGCTCTTTTTGTGGTGGCCAAGAACAGGAAATTGAGGGGATGCCTATCAATTGGGGAATGGCTGAACAAGTGGTTGTATATGAATATAATGGAATACTATCGTGCTGTAAGAAATGATGAGTATGTGGGTTTTGGAAAAACCTGGAAAGACTTATACGAACTGATGCTGAGCGAAGTGAGCAAAACCAGCAGAACATTGTACACAGAAACAGCAACATTGTGCAATGATCAACTCTGATAGATTGAGCTCTTCTCAGCAATACAATGATCCAAGACAATTCCAGAAGACTCATGACAGAAAATGCTATCCACATCCACAGAAAGAACTATGAAGTCTGGATGCATATTGAAGCATACAATTTTCACTTTTTTGTTGTTTTTTATTTTTTCTTTCTTGCAGTTTTTCCTTTTTGTTCTGATTCTTCTTTCATAACATGACTAATCCGTAGAAATATGTTTAACATGATTGTACATGTATAACCTATATCAGATTGCTTGCTGTCTTGGGGAGGGGAGGTAGAAAAATTTGGAACTCAAAATCTTATAAAAATGAATGTTGAAAACTTTCTTTACATGTAATTGGAAAAAATAAAATACTATCAAGTGCAAAAAGAAGTAAATAAGGTTGGTGAGGTAGGTAAGGGCTAGATGGTGGAGGACTTTAAATGTCAAGCTACAGGCTTTGGACTTTATCCTACATGTAGTGGACAGCCACCTGATCAAGATGTAGGTGTTGATACTATTTGTACAAAATGGTATTTAAGAAGATGAATCTGGCAAACAAAGAAGAATAGGTTGGAAAAGGGAGAACCTGGAGGCAGGGAGAATAGTTAAGAGACTTACTTCATTGTTCAGCTGTGAGGTGATAAGGACATGCACTAGGATAATGGCAGTGGAAATGGAAAGAAAGGGACAGAAGGGAGAAATATAAAGAAGAAAGACTGGTCAGTATTTTCTAAGAGACTAGAGATGAAGAAAGAGGATAGAGTACACTTAAAGGATAAGATGAGGAGAAAATGGAACTGTGAAGGAAAGATATAGAGTAGCTCAAGAAGTAGGAAGAAAACAAAACAGAATATAGTAAAGAGAGTGTTGGGCTTAGAGAAAGGACAACCTGAGCTCGAATCCAGCCTCTGACACTTACCAGAAATTCTTGGCTACTCAACTTCTCTGAGCTCCAGTTTCCTCATTGTAAAATACGGACAATAACACTTGTGGCACCTACTTAATAAGCTTGTTTTGTTGTCAAGATTAAATGAGGTTATATGTGTAAAGCCTTCAGAAACCTTAAAGTGCTACACAGATGGCAGCTATTATTGTTGTTGTTGTTGTCAGAGTATAAAAATTCTAGGGCAGAGGGAGACAGTATTTTAAGAAAAATTGGGTGATCACTTAGTGTCAAATGCTACAGAGAGGTCAAGGAGGATGGAGACAAAGAAAAAGATCACTGGATTTGTCCAGTCTCCTCACCTATTTTCCCTAGTAGCTATTTTTAAAAGTTAGTTCCTATCCCAGAGGATCTCAAATGCAACCTAAATTAATTAGATGATTGAGATTGTGTAAACATGATGTTAAATATGAAGGTAGAGACTGAAAATTTCATCTGATTCAAAGGTACATTTGGAGGCCTCTATGATTCCTTCAGGCTCTAAAATTTTACCTCTTAAAAAAGGAAACGCATTTTCAATGAAAATTTCCCAAGATAATTATTGAAGCCTTTTAAAAATTATTAATCAAAGGATAATTCTCCACCTCCCAATCCTTCTTCTCTAGTCCTTTGTGAGGCCTGGTGTCTGTGATTAATTACCCAAGGATAGTGATTATGCCTTCTTCAGGTTTACAATTCAACAACTTGTGGCCAAAGTGCACTTTTGCAGTGGAGTATTTTTCAACAGCTGGAGAACAAACAGAAAAACAACACGTGGAGATATAATTTAAATTCTCTTTTATACCAAATTTAAGAAAAGTTGAGGTTTTCATTTATTGTTCAACTGGGTACAATGACTTATTGACAACATTCAAATTAATTGGTTTAATATCATTCCCACTTGACATCATTTCCCAGTATCATTCTGGTATTAAAACTTTAAGTATAAACTTGTCTTCTTTCCGCTTATTTCCATATTAAAAATTTTTAAATCCAATCTTATTTGCTTAAATGTCATATACCTGAATGAAGGGCACACTGGGAAATAAGAATCAGCTAGCTCATGTTAAAATATGTCAGTTGTGTAATAATACCTCAGCTACTCACATACATATTTGTCCTTGTGTCTGTTTCGAACAGCTCTATTGCCAGGAATGCTTTAAATTCAAGGTAATATAACTTGATGTTTTAGATTGTCTCTGTATCAGGTAATCAGCATATAGTAGAAAATCAACCAATCCGTCACTGAGCATTTATTAAGTGCTGACTATGTACCAGGCACTGTGCAAAGTACTATGGATACAAAGAATCAGGCAACCAGACAAACTCCAATTAGAATGTTAAGTTTGCCGTATGAGTTCCAAGCATCACGGTAACACAACAATGCAAAAAGGTGAATAAGGTTTATTTAAATAAAGATGTTAGACTTACCAGTCAATAGGTCCTTATTTAGATGTTCTCTACTTATAGAAAGAATATACTGGAAAAAAATGGAATTTGAAAACATTGTTTAGGAATAATGTAAAAATATACTCCTGAACTATGGGACAATTTTTCTACTAGATAGGCAGTTCAATAATCAATAAGCATGGCATTTCTTTTTAAAGTATTCAATCTACATTTATTATTTTTATTATTTATAAGATTTATGTTTGGAAAAATCAAACCCTTCTCTTTTAGAATTTAGCGGTGTTTTCACAAAAATAGGGGACATAATCCAGTCATGAAGTGTTTTTTCACTTAGTGCCTAGTGCATTTCCTTGCACAAAGTAGATTCACTCAATAAATGTTTGCTGCACTAAACTAAATCAGATCACCCTACTCAGCTATTTTGGAAATCTCTTGAACTCCTACATACTTCTATACAATTCTACATAGGGAATAGACCTGTGATTTCACTGGTATAGGGAACTCCTAGGTAAGGAAGCTCCCTCTACTTATTCCAAATATACTATTATTATTCAACTTTGGAACTCCTCTGTCATTGCCTCCACATCCAGCAACGGAGACCCCAACATAAGAAAATTGGTCATATTATTGTTTTAGACTCATATGCTGATTTTGACCCAAAACAGTAGTGTCCAATTTGATCACTATCAACCAGATTTATCCCTAAATGCCTTTTGGCTGTTTCCAAAGTAAAATCAACCTTCAAAGGACAAAAATTTGCCAGCATTAAGTATCACACAAAAAATTCTCAAAGGTGCTTTGAATTGGACAATTGGACACACACACACACACACACACACACACACACACACACTGGCACATTTATTTAAAGGAAAAAGACACATTAGTTTATTGTTATACCTCAAATAGAGTTACTCATATATGCAACACACCCAGACATATGTTAATTAAAAAATAATGTTAGGTGGAAATTGACTAACAGGAAGAAAGACTATTTTATAAGTGAATACCCTAGGGGCTAGGGCTAAGAAAATCTCTGGCCACCCCTCATGCCCCAACCCTCAACACACACATACATTGTAGGACTGTTACAAAGCCAATGGAGTAGATAGTATTCAGAAGTCTATGTAGTAAAAGGGATCCTAAAAAAACCCAACCCCATCCTCCCACCTCTGGATCTTCCTCACCTGCCTGACAAAGAAAGGTGTCTGCAATCCTATGATAAGAGAATCATTCATTTAGGCTGAGGTATGTTTAGTGCTAAGTGCCGTCTTTAAAATGCAGTTAGCCTTGTCATTTTTACTTTGATGTGATTTTGTTTATTTTTATATCATAGAATTAGAGAATCTCAGAGCTAGAATGAGTCTTGGACATTATCTTAATCTAACTACCTCACTTTACAAAAATTGAGCCCTGGAGAGATTATATGGCTTTCTTAAAGATTAGAATCCATGTCTCCTAATGCCCCTTTCCCTCCCCATGCTTACTCCTTTGAAATAGTTAGCTAAAAGCTAGGACCCCCAAAAAGTCAGAATTTTCATGTGAGAGGCATATAAGGCACCCCTCATGGGAATAAGGATATATCTGGTTGGGGAATGAAGTTGGGGAGGGGTCCAGGATAGTTGGGGAACAACATGAGAACACTAAGTAACGACAGAGGGCACGGAAAGAAGGTGGGAAGACATGAAAGCCCAACTTTACACAGGTCACAGTTATTTGTAGAGCATAACACACTGGTGATTGCTCTGGACTGAAGGTGAGAATCAGAAATGTCAACAAAATTGATTTACCCTAAGTACATAAAATGCCAAAATAAGAGGAATATTTACAGCTTTTAAGATATACCAATATAGCTAATTAGTGAGTCCATGATGTATCATAAAGTGAAAATCTGAATTAACAACTTAGTTTGTAAATAGCTTGATCCTGCTGGGAATAAAAAAAAAAGAAATTTCTTATCATCTTGCTAAAATTCATAAAAATCAAGGCCATTTTTATTATCCTGCTCTGTACCCCTGGTGTCTGATATGCTGATTGTTATATATCACATATAATACTGTTATGTGCAATGCAACAGAACGCAGAAATGTTATTTTAGTATATCAGGAAGCATTTCAATGAATAGAAGAATTTAAATATTCGTTCTTGTTCAGAGAGCATGTAGATGATTTTTACATTCAGTTGGGTACTTTGTTACATTCATAAAATCATAGGTTTATCGGGAATCCCAACAGATCATCTCGATCATTCCCCGCCCCCAACTTTCATATACAATTTTAACTAAAAGAGAAAGTTGGTTCATTCTTTTCTTAACTAAAATTAACCAAAAGTAAAATAAAATTCTTCAAGCCTCATTTCCCTAATGCTAATCTAATACAATGGTGATACTGTAAATAATAAGTAACAAGAGTAATAATAAATTAGCTTGAAGATTTTTTAAAATTAGCTATGAGAAACAATATGTACAGATGATTTATGGAATCACTTCAGGAGACAGGTTTAACTCTTGCTTTCAAGTTATTTATATTGGAACAATTTCTAATAGGGTGCTAGATTCAGAAAGGAACAAGGGGGAAAATGGCAAGATTCCAAGCAATTCTAGATTGAATAATGGAATGAAACTAATTAAACAATACTGCTCAGAGTCCCCAACCTGTTTTTATAAATGCTTTCAGCTTCAGAGGTTAGGGCTTCAAAAAAAAAAAGGCAAAACAAAAAATCCACCTATATTGAGGGGTAGGACTTGTTTTTTAATCTGAAACCCACTTTCTGCACTGCTCCTAACTCTGCCCTGCAACTCACCCCTCACACTCTCCACATACACCTAAGTACATTCTTTAAATACTTCTCACCTGTTTGGAAGAACTTCAGTATGAAATATGTACTTTCCTCTCCTCTCTCCCTAGCAGAATCCTATCCATTTTTCAAGACCCAGGACCTCTCAGTATTAAAGGACCTTAGGTTTAGAGCTGCAAGGGACTTTTGAAGTTATCTGGTCTAAAGCTCTTTGTGGAGCCTTGCCCGGCAGCTTCAGCTTTCTTCTTTTCTAAACTTTGGCAATCTTCATTGGTATTTCCTAGTTTAAAGTTTTATTATATATGGTCCTGTTTTCAAATCATTTCACATGTGGAAATCATATCACTCCACAGGATGTGATGATATGTTCCCTGAGAGCAAAGATAGTATCTTATACTTCAAATGCACTTAGTCCAGTAGTGTGAAGACAGTAAGTGCCCAAACAATGATTGATTGATTATAACATAATATTATCTGAAACCTAGACTAGTTGATCTTCCTCTCTCTTCTTCCGCTCCCTACTTCCTATTTTTGTGAAGGTGTCAATATGATGCCAAAATGAACATTCAGTTCTGTAGAAGGAAAAAAAAAACTCACAATTGAATAACAGGGAATTCAGGCAAAAAAAAAAAAGCCAGCATGCTAAATATGCAAATTTTTCACATTTCTATGAGTTTCATTATCATATGTAACTATAAATTTTGCTTCCTTGAGGGTACCACTACTGACTAAAAATAAGGAAAAATGAGATAACTCTGTCTAACAAAAATCAGAACCAGAGGGAAAGCAGGATTGCCCAATTTTTGCTGTTGTCCTTAGGGAAAAAAGAAAAGAACTTTTCTACGTGAAAATTAAGAGGGTTGGGGTTTCTGGTTTGCTGAAAGACATTCTGCATACCTGCTTTCCCAAGGAAGCAAATTCAGAAAGTGTAATTAGATAAGGAAACCCTTCTTTTGAGCTCAATATGCTACTGTAGGAAAGTTAACAGGTAAAAAAAGAAAACCACATGAAAGCTAAGCAAAAAAGGAGAAACAGAAATCTGATTTTGGTTTTTAAAAACTACATAGTACCATCTGGATGCTATTTTCTCTTTTAGAAACTGTTGTAGGCGAGAGGGAAATGGTTCTACTCCATTTCTCGAAGTTGAAATGCAAATCAATTCTAGTCAAGTTATTTTTGAAGGAACATGAAAAAAAAATCAGCCCACTAGAAATGCTTTTGCTCTTCAGCATTGAATGAATAGATGGGTATTTATTATCTTTTCTACTTTTCTCTATAGGGCACATTTACGTCAATGAAGGATGCAGAGAAGCTGAGATAAAGCCTACAGGATGGCAGAGAATTATTCAGGTTTCTTTTTTCTAATTTTCTATCCACCGAAGAGGAACCATGCTTTAAAAGACAGCACTGACTTCCCCTTGCCCTAGAAGAGAAACCTCCTGACAGGTGAGATGTAAAGATATGTGCAAGCAAAGAAATCAATTTGAACACTTTCCACTTGAGTTTTTTTTCTTTTTTGAGAGTATGGAGTAGATATGAAGTCAGATAGAGTGATGAATGCTTTGGTAACCAGTGGAGCTCATCTACTGCCACTAGCATTGTTGTTAACTGCCCAATACAACCTGAAGAGCAGCCTGAGACCAGAGCATAGTCATCCCTGGATGTCATTGTCAAGTTCAATCATTATTGAACTTGCTTTCCATTTAGAAGGACTGATGGCAGAGAGTAATTTACAGTAATTGTCTTCCTTCCCCTTCCCTACAGTGTCTAGGAGAGCTTATATTAAATCCAAAGCTTACCTGTTCTCTAAAGCTTGGTTAAATTTCTGTTCAATTAGTATTGAAAGCAAGCATAAGATAAAGGAGTGGTCAACCATAACAATTTCTAATTTGTATATCTTTTATCAATGGTCCTGGGATGTAAGGAAGAGAGCCAGTGATAGAGAGAAGAAGAAAGAACAAGAAGAACAAGAACAAAAACAAGAACAAGAACAAGAACAAGAACAAGAAGAACAGGAAGAAAGAGAAGAAATATATTTTCTGTTGGAGATTGCAGGGATCTTCTCATCTGAGGCTCAAAGAAATGCCCCCACCCCCTCCTCTATTTGGCTGAGGATGCCAAATAGAAAGTCACCCCACCCGTGGTGGAGAAGGGTAATGGTTACAAACAATTGGTGATGCCCACATTCAAAAAGAGAGAGAATTGTAGAGAGAGACGGAGTGAGAATCTTAGCCCAGAAAAATCTTTTCATCTTATACAAATAACACTTAATAAATATATGAATGCATATATATCTACATGCATATATATGTAGATATATGTGCATATATGTATATCTATATTATACAAGGCAGATAAATAAATAACAGACTTTTAAACAAGCATAACAGAACCTATATGATAAAATAAGTGGTGTCTCCTTCAAAATAATTGCTTTGAACTTATTACAAAGATGTTGCCATTACCCAAACCATTTTTTAACTTCTCTTTTGGGATTGATTATCTTAAAAGACTATAGCTCATTATCCTGAGAAGTAGAAATCTTTTTTTTCTTTTTGAGTGGATTTGATCTTTGGAAATTGCTAAAATTCATTCAGAATGAAATTTAAGGAATAAAGTGGGTAATTAAACAGGGCAATGCCATTTGAACTACAAAAAAGGAGATGTGGCTATGATAAGTTTGTGTGTGTGTGTGTGTGTGTGTGTGTGTAAGAGAGACAGAGACAGACAGAAACAGAGAGACAAACTTATTCTTATAGCAATTTCAAAAATATTTTGTACAATGGCAACATTTTTGGAATAAACATATCCTCCCACAGTGAATACTTTGAAGAATAGCACTTACTGAAATCATGGCTCTGACACTAGCCATATTTCCTTGGGTAAGTTATTCAATCTTTCTGAGCCTCAGCCTCTTCATCTTTAACTTGTATGTAATAATAGCCCTGTAGTATTTACTTCATAAGCTTGTTGTAAGCATCAAACGAGATGAAATATAAATATATATATATGCATGTATATATAAACTTTGCAATCCTTGAACCCACTATTATCACTATTTATCACTATTATTATTATTATTATTATTATTATTATTATTATTTTTGTACTGTGGTTGTTCAGATAAGAGTCATATTTTGGGTAATACCAAGGTAAGAAAGATAAAAACCAAAGTTAATAAGTTCTAGATTTTAGACATAACAATAATGTAAGGAGGTATCTCAAGGGAAAATTTACCTGATTTTTTGTCCCATAAGGAATTGCAGACTTTGTTCCTGAAAGAGAATGAATCATCCTTGCTCTCATAGGAATGCCCTGGGATACAACCTATATAAAATCAAAAATGACTAAGTTATAAATCATAAAATTTATCAAATAGATTTCAAATCACAGTTTTCAAATCTCTTTCATAAAACTAATATAAAGGATTGACTGATTTATAGCACAGTGGTAGTACCTCATTTAAAGAATGGCTGAGAATCTCTGTTCTCTTGAAGGAACTTGTATAAAAAGCAGGAACTCTTTCAGAACCAGGAAGGGATTTTGAGGGTCTGGTAGCAAAAAGAAAGGAGTGAGGAAATTAAGAAGAGAGTCAGAAAGAACAGGAAATACAGGGTAACCAGTGAAAGGAGGAAAAGGAAGCAGAACTGGTACAAAACAAGGGAGAGATTGAGGAGGGCCACTGGCCCCACCGGCAGCAAGGAACAGAAGGCTACCAGTTGTATGTGTCTTCTCACAGATCAAGGGACATTCCAAGAAAGGTCCGCTCTTTTCCTCTACTTCCCTTCCCAGTGCCTGTCTATTACCATACCCTGATGCTTCTGTACCCAATCATTTCTGGTATCCTGAATTTTGCCTCAATCACAAAGAAGCCAGGAGTTGACTAGTGATAAATAAACATGTAAATTAAGTCAGAGAGAGTCAAAGGTCTTAATGTTATTTTTCTAAGTAAGGGTTCAGAGTGATTGTGATTGTGGTTGTAAGGAACTAGCCGAGCCTGAGGCACATATTGCCTCTAGCAGTAAAATTACCTTATTTTAGTAATAGGATCTTATAATAGTAGGAAAGTTAGTAAAAGTTGAAATCATCAAGTTCCACTACTTGGGGATATTTTAGAGGAGATTTCTGTTCAGGTACAAGTTAGAGTAAACGGCTCACGAGATCTCTTCTACCTTTGAGATTGTTACTTTATGGTTCTGTCTTTGCATTACTGGGAGGTAGTTGGCATTGCCTCACACTAATAACTCATTGTGCCATAGAGGTGTTTTGAAAGACTAGGTCAATGAAAGTGAACTCAGCTAAGTCCTAAAAAGCTGGAGAGGCTTCTAAATATGGGTATAACCGTGGACTGTAGGTCTGACTACCAATCAACTTTGTTTGAAGAAGCCCATCACCAAAAGTGTTCGTTCACTCACTGATCACTGATCAAATGTTGACTATTTTTAAGGCACAGTGCTAGGTGCTAGGGATACAAAGATAAAATTAAAGATACTTTCTGCCCTCAAGAAACTCACCTTCTACTGGGAGTATACAACATGTACACAGATAAGTACAAGATAATTTGAAGTAGGAAAGAGTATGAACAACTAGGGGAATTAGAAAAAGCTTGTCATTGGAAGTGTCACCTCGGCTGAGCCTGCAGAAAGTTAGAGATCCTAAGAGGCAGAGATGAGAAGGCAGAGCACTCCATGGATGGGGGACAACTTAGACAAAGACATAGACATAGGAAGGAGGCCAGAGTGCAGAAAATGGAGTAATGTCAAATGTAGTTGTTCAAATAGGCCGGAGTCAGATGAATTCTTTTTGCAACAGCTACTCATGAAGACTGTATATTTAGGCTGTGGGCTCCATCAGAAAAAAATATAAGCCTGCATCAATCAAATCACAGGTCTTTAAGGCAATGAAGCAAGAAGCACGTGGCATCTAAGGGTAAAATGCAGTTTTTTAAACCATTATGAAGATAGGACCCAGTGATATTTAAAGATAACTAATTGTTATATTCTTTTTACTTACTCCAAGGACCCACAATAGGTTCTTTGTTCACCAATATAGATGGCAACCACTATGGGACTTAGATGATACATATCAAGAATTATAGTTGAAAAATTAATCATTCAGTGGCCTTCCTGGTTATGAGTCAGTTTAGCTAGGCTTCTCCTTGGACAACAGACATAATGTTCATTATTGGCCCTATACTCAAAGCCTTTCCAGCTTTTCCCTAAGACATAACACATGTAAAGCATTTTGCAGTCCTCAAAATGCTGCATGGTAGTTGTTAATTATCATTATTATAATTATTAATAACTAATAATGATAATTAGTCAGCAGAAGCCAGCAAATCTTATACCCTGTTGGCATAGGGTGGGTATAAGAATTAATCCAGGATCACCCCCACTCTATGAGGAGGTGACAGGGGAGGACTTTAGTAAACTATTATTCTCTGCAAGCCCTAGGGAAACAACAGAAGACAACCAACCTGGTCTTCTAGTCCAACCGCTTTAAGAGCCTGACGTCCTCTATGAGAAAGGGCCAAATTAATACTTCTTCCACAGGCAAATTTTGCAACTCGAATATCTATGGCATGGGAAACAAATTCCAGGTTATGTAAATGTATTTGGTGGCAGAAGATACATCATATAGCAAATTAAAAATGTTACTGCAGAAGCTTGCAAACGCAAAGCCAAATCCTTGAAATCAATAACTTCTCTAAATAAGACATTAATTGTACATTTTGGACAGAGTTTTGGAATTTAAAAGCCTACTAATAGTTCCTATTTTCTTATCATCCAGGAAGTTTAGAAAAATAGGCAGAGCCAAGAATCAAAACCATAGAGTCATGGTGTTTTTGTTTACCTTCTCTGGCTTCATAGACATCAACTTGGAAACCTCTCTTTGCAAGGAAGCAAGCATTTAATGCACCCACCTAAAAGTAAAGAGACATTTTTTTCATATTTTTACAGGTTTTTGACATGAAAAGAATTTTAAGTTATCAAAATTAAGTATCTCACACCAATTGGCTTTTAAAACCCTGTACAATCTGGCCTCCTCCTTCCTTTCCAGTTATCTCACACTTTACTCCCCTTCATATAACGTACAAACTAACGGCACTGGTAGGCCTCTCGTTTCTTGCATAAGGCATCCTATTGCCTGACTTGGTATCTCTTCCTTGGCTGTCTCCTGTATATGAGATGCTCTCCCTCCTCACCTCTTCCTGGCTTTCTTCCAGACTCAGCCCAAACCCACAGCTGAGGGAGACCTTTCCTAGACTCCTCCACTTACCCTGTATGTATCACAGCTGTTTACCTGTCCTCTCCCCCATTAGAAAGTGAGCTTTTCGAGGGCCAGCGCTGATTTTTCCCTTTCTTTGTATCCAAGCACTTAGCACAGTGTCTGGCACATAGTGAGACCTGATAAATGCTTGCTTGATCCATTTTGCCAATTTTGTGGCCTGTATCTATCATTGAATTTACCTTACTCATTATCCATGAAACACAGTAACCTACATGCAGATCAGAGTTCAAGCTCTACCTTCTCAGAACCCTCTCACAAGAATTAACCCTCTATTGGCAAACTCATTTTAACAAAAGTCCATTGGCAGAGTTTTCTGATTTAATGTAACATTTGTAATTCAATACTGCCAATATATAGCACGAGCTCCCTCAGATTCTTTTCGGAGTTTAAAAATATCCATGAGACACAGAAAAATGATCATCTGATAAATATTTATTTTCATATGTGAGGCATGGTGCTAGGCCCTGCAAGGTATACAAAGGCACACTCTTTTTCCTAAAACTTCTGACTATACACAATGGACTTTACCAGATCCAGTTTCTATACACTGGTGTGTAGTGATTTAAGCCAATGGTGTCAAAATCAAATAGAAATGGGCCTCATATTGAATTGATAAACTGCATCCTAACATTATCTATGCTCTACTGCACTTTTATTTTGTTAAATATTTTCCAATTATGTTATATATTTTTATAACATTTTATCTTCCCCCGGTTACATATAAAAACAATTTTTAACATTTAATTTTTTTTTAGGTTTGGAGTTCCAAATTCTATCCCTCTCTTCTTCTCCTCCCCCTTCTCTAAGACAGTAAGCAATTTGATATAAGTTATACATGTGCAATCATTTAAGACATTTCCATATTAGTTATTTTGTGCAAGAAGACTTAAAAAAAAAGAAAGAAACAAAGTGAAAAATAGTATGCTTCAGTCTGTATTCAGACATCATCAGTTGCCTCTGGAGGCAGATAGCATGTTTCATCATGAATCCCTTCGGATTATCTTGGATAATTGTATTGCTAAGAATAACTAAGTCATTCACAGTTCTTCATTGCACAATATTGCTGTTACTGTGTACAGTGTTCTCCTGATTCTGCTCACTTCACTCTGTATCAGTTTAGGTAAGTCTTTCCAGGTTTTTCTGAAATCACCCTGCTCATCATTTCTTATAGCATAATAATATTCCATTTTAACCATATACCACAACTTGTCTAGCCTTTCCCCAATTGATAGATATCCCCTAAATTTGCAATTCCTAGCCACTACAAAAAGAGCTGAATATTTTTGCACAAATAAGTTCTTTTCCCTTTTTAAAAAAAATCTCTTTGGGACACAGACCTAGGAGTGGTATTGCTAGATCAAAGCATATGTAGTTTAGCCCTTTGGGCATAGTTCCAAATTGCTCTCCAGAATAGGTAAATCACTTTACAACTCCACCAACAGTATATTAATGTCCTAATTCTCCCACATCCCCGCCAACATTTATCATTTTCCCTTTTTGTCATATTACCCAACCTGATAGATATGAAGTAGTACCTCAGAGTTGTTTTAGTTTGTATTTCTCTAATCAATAGTCATTTAAAGCATTTTTTTCATGACTATAGTGCTTTTTAAAATCCTTTTTAAGCTTTTCCAGGAATTCTTTTTGGGCCTGAGACCAATTTACATTTTCCTTTGAGACTTCACATGTATCCACTTTGACACTGTTGTCCTCTCCTAAGTTTGTGCCTTGATCTTCCCTGTCACTAACCTTCTATAGTCAGGTTCTTTTTTTTTTTTTAATTCATTGTGACTTTGTACTTTCATGTGAGAGTTGGGCTCTGCTCCTGAACTGTCCCAAGTTTCTTGGGGCGTTGATGCTGGCTTTCACTGGGCCTCAGGGCCTAGCTGTTAACTTGCACTGGGTTGGGCGGGGTGTCTCAGAGAGGAGAGATTCCCTGCTGGTTTATACTGGGGTAGGGGGAGACAGTAGAGCCTCCTTTTTTGGCTTGCCCTGGGGATGGGGTCTTGCTGCTGGCCTGCCCCAGGGATGGAGTCTAGCTGCTGACTTGCTATGGAGGTGAGGCCTCTCTGCTGGCCATCCCCAAGGGTAGGATCTTGCTACTGGCTGGTAGTGGGGGCAGAGTTTTAATGCTGGCTGTCTCTGGGTATGATGCCTTGCTACTGGTCAGCAGTGGGGGTGGGGCCTTGATGTGCTGCTGGTCTGGGGCTGCTGGCTTTCGTGGAGGGAGGCCCTTACTTGTGGATTGCCCCAGGGCTCAGAGCCCCACTGCAGGCCCTTTGATGGGCAGCCTGTGGCTGTTGATTCTTTGCCAGGCTCCTACCCCAGTGAGACAGATCTTTCCTGCTGTGCTGACAAATTGCTTCCACCTGCTCCTAAATTGGTTCTGAGGAGTTTTTCAAGGTTGTTTGGAGAGGTATTTGGGAGGGCTCCTCCAGGGAATTCCTTCCTCTCTCTGCTATCTTGGCACCAGAAGTCATACCAATAATATTTTAGCCTGATTCAGGCTGCCCTTGAGAGTGCTACTAGCCCACCTTGTGTTTAACACCTCTGATTTAAGTCACTGTGGTCGTACCATAATATCTGTATGATACAGTGCAATGAGCACAGGACATAAGACCTAGAGCCTGGAGCTCCCATGCTTATTCACTGTGTGACCCTGGGTGACTTATTGCTCCTGTCTGGGCCTCAGTTTACTCTTCTGTTAAATGGGGATAATAATGCCTGTGCTACCTATCCCACAAGGTTGTTGTGAACAAAGAATTTTATAAATGCTAAAGTATTATAGAAATATGTTATTATTGTTAGTTTAGTTGAACCAATTGATTCGTTGCAGAAAAATTGGTTGTAATTTTGACTTTTTTAAAGAAAATAATTTTAAATAAATGAACAAATATTTTAAAGGAATATGTGAATACTTTTGCAAAGCAAACAATTATCCACTAATTTTGCGTTTTGTTATCTTTAATTTTCACATGTAAGTACTTTTCTAGACATAACCACATGACTTACGAGCTTCTTATATAAACAAAAGCTTAGCTGAATGTATGTGGTCTCCCTCTTGCCCCATTTGCCTACCATCACCAAGCTATCATAATATTAGATCATAATTCCCCAAGCTTTATTATTTACAAATGTTTTCTTCATAACAACTCTGTGAGGTAGAGAATGCAATGATTATCCTCCTTTTAGCCTCCCTGTAAGTGAGGAATGAGCCTCAGGGAGGTCAGGGCTAGAACTGAAATTAAAATTTTCTAATGTCAAGTTCAATGTTTGTTCTGGGTTTTTTATTCAGTTGCTTAATACTGTCTTTCCGTGTAATAAGCAAACACCACTTTATGTTTTGTCTGTGGAATTTATCTGATTCAAAGAGCCTCTTGCTCCCAGTGGGAGTGGGGATTACGCCTTCATAGAAATAAGGAAGATTGGAAGAGGTCAGGGTTTGTCCAGTGGTAGAGGCGGAAAGATAATGAGTTCAGTTTCAAAGATTTTGAGATACCTAAGACAGTCAGTTTGAAATGTCCAACAGGTGATGAGGGGCTGAAGCTTAGACGAAAGAGTAGGGCTGGACATAGATCCAGAAGTTACCTGCATAAAGACGATAGCAAATAAGAGCTGATGAGAGTGTAGGGTACACAAAGTAGGGCAATGAAAGAACTTACAGTGGTGATCATTAAACCACTATCATGACATTTGAGGAACAGTGAAGAGTAAGAGATGTGACGCAAGAAGGAAGGCAAACATTTTCAAAAAGAGGAATTTTACAGCAACCCTGTGAGTTAAGTCACGTAAACATTACTATCTACATATTACAGATGAGAAATGTGAGACTTAGTTAAATGACTTGATAAGATTCATTTCATGTCCTCCTTGATTCAAGGTCCAATGTTCTTTCCATTAGGTAGCTACATGGTACAGGGGATTGAGTGCTAGGTCTGAAGTTAGTAAGATCTGGGTTCAAATCTGGGGTCAAATCTGGCCTCAGACACTCATGAACTGTGTGACCCTGAGCAAGTCACTTAACCTCTGTCTACCTCGATTTCCTCAACTGTAAACTGGATATAATAATAGCACTTACTTCCTAGGGTTATTGTAAGAATCAAATGAGATAATATTTGTAAAATGTCTGGCACATAGTAGGTGCTTAATAAATGCATGTTTCCCTCCTTCCATTAAACTACAGTGCTTCTCTGTAGGTTCCTTAGCAATTTATGTAGCAATTTATATAGCAATTTATGTAGGTTCCTGGCAATTTATGCCAGGTTAACCCATTTTCCTTTTTAAGAGGTAACTGACCTTCAGGATAAGGAAATTCTGTAGCAAGGATATAGAATCATAGAATCACATAATTTGAGAGTTGGAAGGAACATCATTGTCAATCTAGTTCAACAAATATTTGAAAAGAATCACCACTTGATCATCCTGCCTCTGCTTGGAGACATCCAAAGACAGGGAAATCCCCACGTCTTTAAGGCAGCCTGTCCACTTCTGTATAGCTCAAATTGTTAAAAAAAATTTTTTTCTGACAAAATAACCTAAATTTATCCAAATGCAGCTTCCACCCTCTGCTCCTGTTCTTGAACCCTGGGGTCAAACAAGTCTTATCCTGGCTTCAAATACTTGAAAAAATGG